GTATGTATTTACAAAAAAAAATATCTAAGTATTTATATCAGTTGTCTATAACATAAGCTCTGCTTTATACTGAGAATAGATGGCGCTGTGTAAATTGTCCCGAGATATTCTTTCATTTAGATCGATTTATCTAAAAAATATTTCACACACTAATAGTTTATATAACAAATTATTTTATACTACAGTATGCTAGAAAATCGTAAACGATACATTCTCGGGTACAAAAATAATAACCATTGAATGAATGGAAATTAAAGAGAAATAGCACATCACGCTATCATAGCCGACTGCACTACATATGGGCATAACATAATATTAGCGCTCGACTGTTCAGGTACAAAAGCTACAGCTCATGTCGATCCTGGAGAGCACGGTGTACCTGCCGGTGTGGGACAACTCGAGCGTGGTGGGCGTGGCCCGGCACGAGCGGGAGCGTGCACGTGCACGTGTCGGCAACGTGCGTGCCCACGTGCACTCCCCGCCCGCAGCCGTGCTGGTCTACCACCGTCAGCGACAGCCGATAGGTAAGTTCGTTTGTGTTTATAGCATCTACAAGCGTCCAATGGCAGCTCTATTCATAAATTAAGGGTATCCATAAATTAAGTCATAAGTTAAGGAGGGGAAAAATGTTTTGATGTGCGCGGCCCTTATTACTTAGAGGTATAAAATATAAATAACAACCTATTCTTAGACCTGTATGTACCTATGAAATATCATGACTACTTCTCCGACACCGCTTCACTGATTGTTAAGCAGTTTCGGAGAAGTATGGCAACTATTTTTGTTTTTTTATATAGAAGGTTTTGGGCTATTATCTGGTGTTGAGATTTGTGACACTTCGATTTAAATAGATCTATTGTGCTCGCCCTTTTTCAAAACTACCTAGAGCCGTGAGGGACAAAAATGTAAAGGATATTCTTTGGAACGATGGTTTTGGTGGAAGAACCTTCCAAGGTTCTACATTTGGCATAACATGACGGGCGTCGACACCGACAATTTATGCCTGGCTGAAATTAGGCGAGGTACAATATCCAACTGTTGTTATTTTTTTTAATTAAATTTAATAAAATGAATGTCTCAATGTCCGAAATACAGTGCAGCACCCGTGCGCGCATAACCGCGGCGGCTGCGCGCACATGTGCGTGCCGGCGTACACGGCCGACGGAGCTCCCCACGCGCGCTGTCTGTGTCGCCACGGGTACCGCCGCGCCGGCCGCGGGGACTGCGTGCGTGAGTACCGCACCACGTGCTTCATCACTTTCCAGAGCTGAAGCTGTAGGCCTCGGGGCGATGTGTTTGCTCCAATTTTGTCTCGAGAAGCAACTAGACTGGACCCCTGGAATTATACCACTGATGTACTATTATTGACGACCTCGGTGGTCTGGCGGTCTAGCACACCGCTTTACGTCCGATGGTCGCGGGTTCGATTCCTCGCATAATTTCTTTCTATGTATAATATATATGTATTTATAAAAAAAAATTGTATCAGTTATCTAGTACCCATAACACAAGCTTTAGCTAGTTTAACTTGGGTCTAGAGTGCGTTGTGTGAATTGTCCTGTATTATTATTCTTATTAATTTATCTAGAAATTTTAAAGTGATAATTTTTTTTATGTATTGTCTTGTATATACTGTATAAATTTTCGGCAAGTTTTTTAATATCAATTTTTATAATGGATAAATATAGAATGATGCACTCACTTGTGCTAACGGTATACGCTGGGCTCGCTCCGAGCTTCAGGTCAGTGAACCCATTTTGATGAAATCACCACGGGGAACCGTGTGAAGGTCGACTTAATATATTACTTTGCGGTTCTAATTATTAACAAGCCCCTTCCCCCCGAAGAGGATATACTGCGTGTTGACTTAAAATAATGGGATAAAGGAAGGACAATTTTTATTATTGGTGTGTCGTGTGGTGCAGGTCCGGAGGTGGATCAGTACCTGGTGGTGGCGCGCGGGTCGCCGCCGCTGGTGCAGGTGCTGGCGGCCGCCGCCGACGCGGAGGTGGCCGCGCCCGCCGCCGACGCCGCGCGGCCCACCGCCGCCGACGTGGACCTCGCCCGCCGCCACCTCTACTACTGCGACGTGCACAAGTCAGTACTCAGCACTCAGCACTCAGCACTCAGCACTCAGTACCGCCCACCTCAGCCGACGCGGAGGTGGCCGCGCCCGCCGCCGACGCCGCGCGGCCCACCGCCGCCGACGTGGACCTCGCCCGCCGCCACCTCTACTACTGCGACGTGCACAAGTCAGTACTCAGCACTCAGCACTCAGCACTCAGCACTCAGCACTCAGTACCGCCCACCTCAGCCGGTGCAGGTCTCCGACCCCTCCATACTATTAGTGCAGGTGATGCAGCCGCGGCCCACGCTAAGGTACACAACTCAGAACTCCATGCATTAACGCTGAAAAAGGTATATAATCTCTTTAAGAGAAAAGCTCACATTTGTTCACATTATTTTTAATAATCATGTACTATTTTAAATCACAAGTGCAATAAAAAATATTTACAACATACAAAAAAACGTAAAAATTAATACCCAATAATGGCATTACTTCTTAAGTTACGTTAAGTTATACGATATACGTCTTTTCATAGAATAGACCTTATGCAGTACAATTTTAAAGTCCATTTTAATCAGTAATAGCGAGGGTGGACGAAATGTCCTCGCTCTTTCTCTAGCTACTAAAATGCGTTCCTTTGTAAATGGACGTTAATTCTTACAGATATGAGATAGTTCGACAAAAGCTGGACGGTACCGGCCGCGAGGAGTTCGTCGGACAGGACGTGGACAACTGCGAGGGGCTCGCCGTCGATTGGATGGGTAAGATTCTAGCTTTTCTATGGTTTGGTATGGTCAATGGTTTAGAGATATGGTAGAGTAAATAAGAGTAAGGTTAATGTTAAAGGTAGAAAGATTCCTGATAAAAATTAATTTATTTGTTTTGTATATACAAGAAATCTAAATATATATAACTCAAAGGTGACTGACATAGTGATCTATCAACGTACAGCCCAAACCACTGGCTGGGCCACTCGGGCTGAAATTTGGCATGCAGGTAGATGTTATGACGTAGCCATCTGCTAATAAAGGATTTTGATTAATTCTACCCCCAACGGGATAAAATAGGGGGTGAAAGTTTGTATGAAACTTTGTCAATTTTAAACCGATTGGGCTGAGACTTTGCATGCATAAAGCTGCTATGACGTGGGCATCCTGGACGGAACCTGCGTTCAAAAACCGAATGCCGCGGCTTTTTTTTTCGGTCTACTCTAATGCTGTTGGCCGCAGCTGGCCTTTACAGCTTCACCGGAAGATACGGGGCGAGTGCAGATGGCACTCCAAACCTAAGGAAGGATTTATGGAGCGGCTGAAGGCCAACTCCTGCCTGACGGATACGACTTTAGTCTGAGGGCACCACTAGGGGTTCGAACCTCGGCTCAGGCCGTCGTAATTTCGATCCCCGTTTGAATTGGACGGGGGATCGATCGGAGTGGTGCCGCGACTTACAAAATCCCTCCCTTATATACAGAGAAGATATGAGTGGGGGTTATACGCAACTAGTTTAACGATACCCAGTAATAATGAAACTAACCAATGCGGGCTGTCCGTACTAGTGAAATATGTATTCTAAAAATATAGAAAAAAAAACAATGGTCTGATGTAAAAATAAATTATATTTTTAAACAGAACATTTGTTACATACAGAATGTTACATTAAAGAAATGAAAAGTCAAAACCATAGAGTTAAAACACTATCCCACACACACATGTGAGATGCTTTGGTGATAGGTCGCAACCTGTACTGGACTGATGACGCACTGGGCCGTGTGAGCGTGGCGCGACTGGACTCGGAGGGCGACGCACGCGTGCAGCGCGTACTCATCAACGAGCCCAACTTCAACCCGCGCGCACTGGCGCTCGACCCTGCCAACGGGTACGTACTAGCACATGTTTTTTTTTATTTTAAACTGTGATTGATAAAACTAAAGAAAGTTTTATGGAAATTGCGTAAGGTTTCACAAGGTTTGAGCTTAGCAGTTTCCAGAGTCTGTCCTCAATTTGCCAGAAAAAGATTAAAATGTCTTATAAAGCATTTCCTTTGCAAAAAAAAGCTTATTATAAAATTGAAGAGTTTATAAATGATAATAATGTTGTTGTAGAAAAAAGACTAACTTAAAATTCATAGCGCTGACAATGTTATCTGATTGAACAAAGATTGAATGCGTAGCGGTTTCAATGTTAATTGTCGCATGCCTAATCCTTGTTATCATTATCGCAGCCCGGAAGACGTCCACTGCTGGACATAGGCCTTGTTAATGTGTATTTAATGAGAACAACATTTATTTAAAAGAGCATCACTCGAGTTTATTGCTCATTCTACTTGTGTACAGTGTATTCTAATTTCTCGTTGTCGTAAATGTTGACTAGTGAGCTATGTGTGCACAGAGTAATGTACTGGACGGTATGGGCGAGCGCAATGTCAGCGCACGGGCGAATAGAGCGCGCCAACATGGACGCGAGCAGTCGACACACGCTCCTGGACTCCGACCTGCACTGGCCCAACGGACTCGCGCTGCACCCCGACGGGGCCGCGCTCTACTGGTGAGTAGTACTGTCTAGCGGCCGACGCTGAAGAAGGGGACCCATTAAATATGTTTTGGATATCATCTGGCTCTCACTCCACTCCATGACCACGACCGTTCTGTCAAGAGCGTATCGAATAAAAAGAAGAAATGGTCCTTTGAGCCGGATAATGCACGAGTAAGTTATTTTAAAGTCTGCTCTATTTAGGTGATGTTAGATTTATATAACTAGCTACTCGTCAGCTTCGCCCGGGGGTACATGTATTATACATATAAACCTTCCTGTTGAATAACTCTATTTAAAATAAACATTAAAGATTTCAGCATACATAAGGACGGACAGGTAGCGACAGTGATTTTGTTGTATACTATGTAATGATGCTAATAACGTGTGTACATCAGGTGTGATACGTACCTGAACAAGATCGAACGGCTCGTGCTGGACTCGGGCACGCGAGAGCTGGTCGTGAGCGATACCTCGCAGACGCCCGTCCTCAAACCGTACGGGCTGGCGCTCTACGAAGGTAATATTATATTATCTTATACTAGTGCCCGCAGAAATTTATATGAAACGGATGAAACGTTTCATATAAATTTCAATATAAACCATAGTCTGTGTTACTCTGATGCATAAGCTATATTAGTGTAAAGTTTCATCAAAATCCGTTCAGTAGTTTTCGCGTGAAAGAATTACATATTACCATGATTACAAACTGTCGCGTTTATATTATTATAAAAAAAATATATAAAATTATGTGAAATTTTATATCTGAGGCTACTGTCTATTGTTTTAAAAATCACTTCGTAAATAAGCCCGTAAAAGGTAAAGGATAAAAAATGGTTATTGTGGGTTGTCCTTAAGAGATTGAACTTTTTAAGGTGTACAATACTGTAATACATTTTAAAGATTTAAGCATACATAGGGGCAGAGAGACAGCGACAGCGACTTTGTTTTATACTATGTAGTGATATAAATAAAAATCATACATTTACAAACATGCAGGGCCGTCATTCACCTATTAGAGGCCCTGGGCACATTAGGGTAATGGGGACCCTATGGCCATAGTAATAAAGCACTATTTTGTTAGAATAGACAAAGTTATTTTTAATTTAGAGATGTTTGTAGGGATGCCCTACCTTCACAAACCAACCAGGCAAAAATAATTTTAAAAAGTCGTTATGTGATGATGGGTTCAAGTTCTTACTAGACATTTATAAAAAATATAACAAAAACGAACTATAGTCGGTAATTTGTTAAGATTGATTTTCAGGTGAGAGTAGAGTAGCTATCGGTTATCGTTTGGTAAAGCAGTAGAGACTAGATTAGACTAGGGGGCCCCAATCCATCGCGGGGCCCTGGGCACGTGCCCAGTGTGCAGTGGAGAAGAGGGCTTGCATATATGGGTGTATTTTCACTAGGTATGGTGGTGTGGAGCGAGCACGGCACGGGTGCCATCCGGCAGCTGACGGCGGACGGTAAAGTGCGGCAGATGCGCAAACTGCCTCCACCACTCTACGACCTCAAGCTGGTCTCAGCCGCCGCCAGGACAGGTACCTACCATCTACCATCTACCACACACGTCACATGGCAATTGTTGAAATGACTGCGTATATTCTCGTAAAAGATTATTTATTTATTAAAGGAAAACCAAGGCTATTCAAGTACATCTTAAATAAAATCAATATATACGTCATAATAAGCCACTGACAGGCTTTCACTAATAACAATAGACTAATTCTTAAAAAAAATTACATCACTACGTATAAATTACCAATTTACTACCGATGGTCGCAGGTTCGATTCCACGCACGCAACATTTGTAATATGTTAAGATTTGTTGCATAAACTTAAAAGCGTATATTGTATGGTGAAATAAACCATTTATATTCGTATTCTTTAGTATGACTGTTTGTATCGGTCTGGGTGTTTTCCATGAATATTTTGTATGTATTAAAAAACTTAATTATTAATGTCAGTTGTCTAGTACACATAACACAAGCTCTGCTTAGTTTGGGACTAGAGGCCGTTACTTTTAAGGTATATTATATTATTATACTAAACTGCTAGACTCTACGATAAATCAGACAGAGAGGCAATTCAAATTTTATATATAAACAAATGTTATGTAAAAAAGCCTATTATAGGATAGATGAATTTATAGATGATAGCAATATATAGCAAGAATAAGTTTGTTTGCGGACAACGTTATAATTTCTTTTTCATACTGCTTTCTTGATATATGATAGCGTAGCTTTTGTATTGATTGCCGCATGCATCCTCATGTAAAGTGCGAATACTGTAACTACCATATAGTAATTTTAAGTAGCTGTGACGTGGTCGAGTGGAATGAGTAGTCATGCTCACTAAAATGTCCAGACATATGGCGGCGTGGTGGGCCGGTTCATTGAGCTTCCTAAAATATGGTCGAGCGCAGTGATGGCTGGCTCATCCGTCATACTCGTGCTGCTTGTAGGGACTGGTCTGCTCTTAACACTACGACTGATTTAATCTTATTGTGTTTTTATATTTGAGCCTAAATAAATTAGTGCTGGTTGGTAGTTTGTATTCACACGTTTCGACTTGTAAAATGTGGACTTACAAGGATTATTTAAAAGAGCAATACACAAGTTTCTTGGTCGTTCTTCTTGTGATGAGACAGCTTTCCGAAAGAGCTGTAGATAAAAAAAAATGTTATGACTATTCAAAAGTGCTTAAATTAAGTTTATTTGAATAATTGATTTTCTATTTTATTCTATTCTATTATACCTAAAAAATATATGTTATTTGGAAATTACGAATTATTATGTAATTAATTATTTCCTTTTGACAAAAATGCAATAGTATATGTTTATATATGTAATTGAATTTAAAAATAAATCTCTATTTTTGTAATCATTTATATTACATTTACAAGCTCATTAGGAAAGAATAATTGCTATATTTGCGCCGAAATGACTGTAACAAACGCGTATGTTTGTGTTGATAGATGAAAAAATGTGTTAATCGAGCATATGACGAAGAGCAGCAAACATCCGAAGGTTTACGTGCTGGAATAACTAATTTTGTTGGATCTCTTCTTATCCAATCTGGAGAATGCTGTAATCTTTAATTGTGTTTTTATATTTGAGCCTAAATAAATTAGTGCTGGTTGGTAGTTTGTATTCACACGTTTCGACTTGTAAAATGTGAATTTACAAGGATTGTTTAAAAGAGCAACACACAAGTTTCTTGCCTATTCTTCTTGTGATGAGACAGCTTTCCGAATAAGCGGTAGATTTAAAAAATTTTAACTATTCAAAAGTGCTTAAATTAAGTTTATTTGAATAAATGTATTTCTATTCTATTCTTTTGGAACAAATGTGGATGTTTTTTAACGAATACACCGATCTCCATGATAATCTCTGTCCATGATGGTCACTGAGAATCTTATTGTTCCGGAAATACTGCCTGCAAGACATCCTAGGCTGTACACCATTGATTTGTAGATACTATTTTTATATGTACGTTGGCATCCAGGACGCAACTCATGCTCAAAGGACAACGGCGGGTGCGCCGAGCTGTGCCTGGCCCGCAGCAGCGTCGGCGGGGGGTCGGGCCGCGTGTGCGCTTGCGGGGGCAGCCGCGTGCTGGTGGCGGACGGACGCACGTGCGCCGCGCCCGGCCCCGCCTCCGGCCCCGGCCCCGGCCCCGCGCCCCCGCCGCCGCCCCCGCGCTGCCCCGACGGACAGTTCCACTGCGGCCGAGGGTACGTGTGCGCTATATACGCTATACGTGGAATTGTAGATTTAATAATCCTCACTGTAACTCTGTCTCGCGTTCAGGCCACAACTACTGAACCGACTTAAATGAAATTTGGTACACAGATAGTTTAGACCAGTGATTCCCAAAGTGGTCTATATCGACCCCCAGTGGTCTATGACAAACTGCAAGGGGTCTACGACAGCGGTCGTTCGTTGTTTTTACTTTATGTTTTTAACACTAAACTTTACTATGGCAACGGCACAAAAAAGTTTGAGAACCTCTGGTCTAGTCCCTAAAAAGGACATAGGTTACTTTTTAATCCGAAAAAAGAGTTTTTTGGTCTCGAAAAGGGAGATGGAAAGTTGTATGGAAGTATCATCATTTTTAAAGCTAGAAACAATGATGAAGTTTATCTTTGGTTTTTTTTTTTAGATAGTGTTTATTGTAATAACTAGACAGTGAGTATACAGGAATAATAATAGTACTATTTATTGTACATTAATAAGTTTATTTCACAGTGTACTATATGGCTTATTAGTAACGCCTACATTCAACGCGCAATCGGAATTAGAACTATTGTACACTGAACTTAAATCTATGTTAGTGGAGACGTAAACTAATGGAAGGGTCTCAAGTGTCGACAGAAATATTACAGGTGTAGGCACAACATTAATAGATATTGTGTATTGTGCAGTCGGTGCATCGATTCGCTGTACGTGTGCGACGGCGACGCGGACTGCCCCGACGCCTCCGACGAGGACTCCTCGCCGGCTGGACCCTGCGGTCAGTACATACGCACATATACAAACATACACACACACACGCACGCACGCACGCACGCACGCACGCACGCACGCACGCACGCACGCACGCACGCACGCACGCACGCACGCACGCACGCACACACAGACTGTGCTACGCAACCCACAAAATTAATATGCAATTCATTCTCTTCTCTATTAGACAGTACCTTAAATTTAATAAACACACGCAGATTTTGCCAAGCTGAAGAGGAAATCGTTTAAGCCATAAGACCGCCTTTTGAACCTACAAAAGATGGCCTTATCGCTTAAGCGTTCTCTTCCAGACAACCTTTGAGTAGAGGAGAAAAAACTGAAGGTGGTGGATGGCGCATGATGGAATGAATAAAATATAAAAGATCGAATAAAAATTTCTTTTCTATTATTCCAGTTAACGTGACTTGCAGCGAGGATAAGTACATGCAGTGCGACGTTACCCGCTGTATACCCAAGAGCTGGGTGTGCGACGGACTTGAAGGTCGGTATTTTGATCAGAACTTCAAATCTATGCAGACTAATTTTTGTACTAATACAAAGTTACCAAAGGTGGAAGGACATACACACAACACACAATCTGGTGATTTGTAACTTGGGGGCGGTTTTCTGGTAACTTTATTTATCTAAATCGTCGGTGGATTCATTCTAAAAGAAAAAGAAATGTGTTTATATATTTATATCAGTTGTCTAGTATTCATAAAAGAAACTTGGGACTATGAATTGTCCAGGGATTGTCATATGCGATTCTGTATTAGGTTGATTTTAGCGTGTAGATATTTTGATAACACAAGTTCTGTTACTACGAGTACATCGCGCTTTGTAATTTATACAGGGAAATTATTATTGTTACTTATATTCTCTATAGGGATGACTTTAGTGTGCAGATCGTAGTAGTAGTAGTTAGTATAACATGTAGATTTTATTGTTACTTCCTATCTTGTTCTCTGTGGGGTGGACTTCAGTGTGGCTGATATATAGTTAGTATAATCTGTAGATTGTGCTGACGGCGCGGACGAGGCGGCTGCGTCTTGCTGCGGGCCCGCTCAGTTCGCTTGCGCGCGCTCCCGGCGCTGCGTGCCGGCCGCCTGGCGCTGCGACGGCGCGCAGGACTGCGGCCGACACGACGACAGCGACGAGCGCGGCTGCGGTGAGTGTACACGCGCACTACGGCCGGCGTGTGCCGGCCGCCACGACGACAGCGACGAGCGCGGCTGCGGTGAGTGTACACGCGCACTACGGTCGGCGTGTGCCGGCCGCCACGACGACAGCGACGAGCGCGGCTGCGGTGAGTGTACACGCGCACTACGGTCGGCGTGTGCCGGCCGCCACGACGACAGCGACGAGCGCGGCTGCGGTGAGTGTACACGCGCACTACGGTCGGCGTGTGCCGGCCGCCACGACGACAGCGACGAGCGCGGCTGCGGTGAGTGTACACGCGCACTACGGTCGGCGTGTGCCGGCCGCCACGACGACAGCGACGAGCGCGGCTGCGGTGAGTGTACACGCGCACTACGGTCGGCGTGTGCCGGCCGCCACGACGACAGCGACGAGCGCGGCTGCGGTGAGTGTACACGCGCACTACGGCCGGCGTGTGCCGGCCGCCACGACGACAGCGACGAGCGCGGCTGCGGTGAGTGTACACGCGCACTACGGTCGGCGTGTGCCGGCCGCCACGACGACAGCGACGAGCGCGGCTGCGGTGAGTGTACACGCGCACTACGGTCGGCGTGTGCCGGCCGCCACGACGACAGCGACGAGCGCGGCTGCGGTGAGTGTACACGCGCACTACGGTCGGCGTGTGCCGGCCGCCACGACGACAGCGACGAGCGCGGCTGCGGTGAGTGTACACGCGCACTACGGTCGGCGTGTGCCGGCCGCCACGACGACAGCGACGAGCGCGGCTGCGGTGAGTGTACACGCGCACTACGGTCGGCGTGTGCCGGCCGCCACGACGACAGCGACGAGCGCGGCTGCGGTGAGTGTACACGCGCACTACGGTCGGCGTGTGCCGGCCGCCACGACGACAGCGACGAGCGCGGCTGCGGTGAGTGTACACGCGCACTACGGTCGGCGTGTGCCGGCCGCCACGACGACAGCGACGAGCGAGGCTGCGGTGAGTGTACACGCGCACTACGGTCGGCGTGTGCCGGCCGCCACGACGACAGCGACGAGCGCGGCTGCGGTGAGTGTACACGCGCACTACGGTCGGCGTGTGCCGGCCGCCACGACGACAGCGACGAGCGAGGCTGCGGTGAGTGTACACGCGCACTACGGTCGGCGTGTGCCGGCCGCCACGACGACAGCGACGAGCGAGGCTGCGGTGAGTGTACACGCGCACTACGGTCGGCGTGTGCCGGCCGCCACGACGACAGCGACGAGCGCGGCTGCGGTGAGTGTACACGCGCACTACGGTCGGCGTGTGCCGGCCGCCACGACGACAGCGACGAGCGAGGCTGCGGTGAGTGTACACGCGCACTACGGTCGGCGTGTGCCGGCGGCCACGACGACAGCGACGAGCGCGGCTGCGGTGAGTGTACACGCGCACTACGGTCGGCGTGTGCCGGCCGCCACGACGACAGCGACGAGCGAGGCTGCGGTGAGTGTACACGCGCACTACGGTCGGCGTGTGCCGGCCGCCACGACGGAGAAAACACAACACTCCTCCGAAGCACAGCTTACAAAGCAAAGTGCGTGGCGGCTGAAGCACGTAGACAACAGCTTCGGTAGTCTAACGACTTAGGACAACGCCTTACTTGTGATGGTCGCGGGTTCAATTTCTTTCTCAAACATTTACATTAGTATTGATGAGTGTGATCGGTGTATGAGCCCGTGTGGTGCGTGCGCCCGCAGAGAGCCGGTCGTGCACGGCGGCGATGTTCTCGTGCGCGAGCGGCGCGTGCGTGCCGTGGGAGTACTACTGCGACGGGCGCGCCGACTGCGCGGACGCGTCCGACGAGCTCGCCTGCGAGCCCGGCGCGCGCCCGCACCCGCGCCCGCACCCGCACCACAACCAGCTGTGAGTACGATCCAATCAAACAATATTTATTTTAGGAAAACCAAGGCTATTTACAAACATAGTTATAAACATAATTAAATAAGAACGGCCACTTATAGGTTTTCACGAATAGAAACGTAATATAAAATAAATTACAGTACTAACACGAGAGGCGTGTTTGTGTCATAAGTACTCATAAAAACATATATAAAAAAATAACAATCTACTAAATTAAAACATATGCTGAAATTAACAAACAAACATTTTAATAATGGAAATGCATATAAGTAATATTAAATTCAATACTTATATCTCAAAGAATCGCCTGCTCATCACGGCCCTCGCTAAAGATATTCTACCGGAAAACAAATATCTAATACTCTACTTAATCTATTGAAGTTATTACTTGCTCGCCACATATAACTGTTTTGCCTATAGTTATATGATACAGAAGGTATAGAAATAGAAGTAAATCTGGTACGTTTAGTACTTTAAGATTATAGGACCTTTAGGCCGCTTTTAAACGTCAAAGTTTTGTATTAATATTTTTCCCTACCGTCAACCAACTGTGAGTCAAATAAAATCAAAAACATTTAATCTTATTTAATTTATCTCGAGGGGCGATATTAAAATATTTTTAATTAAATAACAATTTATAAACGTCTGAGATACATGAACACGAAAGGTATTTGACAGATTTTAAAATTCTTTCACCTGTGGAAATTTACTTAATCAGCGCGTAATATAGCTTATGATTGCAATTAAAAAAAATTCTAACATTATTTCATTCATCATGAATTTCGAAATGAAGCCGGGACAGATTGCTGGATATTACTATGATCTATTTGACGATTTTTAAAAATAAAAACCAATAGTAAGATCTTATGATGACTTTTTATGCTCTTATTATACCAAGTATATGTAATCACAAAACTCTGCCAGACGGCTATCACTGAAAACGAGAGATAATCTCCAGCAACTCACTGTAGCGTTAATAAAAAAATGTTTGTAAAATATATTTTTTTATGGAATTGGAAATGTTTTATCTACTTTCTGGTGCAGACACAACCGCGATCCCGACAGGGACGGCCTCTGTGAAGACCATGAGTTCCAGTGCATCAACGGAGAATGTATCAGAAAGGTATGTTACCAAGGAGTTATCCAATGGTTATGACAAAGAATGGCATATGGGAATAAGCTCGCCAATTTATTTTAAATAGTGCATTATCTTACTAATATAATAAACGCATATGTATGGATGTTTGTTACACTCACATTACGTCTTTCACTCAAAAATTATTAAACTGATTTTGATGAAACTTTACAGACTAACACATAGGCTATAATTTCAAAAGATATTATGTAAATTGGGCCAAATATAATCGTAAATGTCAAAGAACTGTGATTCCGACAAAGTTGCACGGGTCAGCTAGTAAATCATTACATAGTATAAAACAAAGTCGCTGCCGCTGTCTGTCCCTAGGTATGCTGAAATCTTTAAAACTATGCAACGGATTTTGAAGCGGTTTTTTTAACAGATAGACTGATTCAAGAGGGAGGTTTATATATATAATACAGGTACACCCGTGCGAAGCCGGGGCGTGTAGCTAGTAATGAATAAATAAAATAACTCCGAGATTAAAAAACAGACTATACGAACGTGTATCAATGTTCAGGAGTTCCAGTGCGACTCTCGCAACGACTGCGGCGACGCGTCCGACGAGCTCGAGTGCGACGACACCAGCGCGCCGGACACCAGCACCGCGGCCGCCTCCACCGCCTCCACCGCCTCCACCGCCTCCACCGCCGCGCCCGAGCCCGAGTGCGAGCCGCCGGCGCTCCGCTGCGACAACCGCACCCGCTGCGTGCCGCTGCTGCAGCTCTGCGACGGCATCGAAGACTGCGCGGACGGGGCCGACGAGGCCGATCGATGTGGTCAGTGCGAGCTAGATTCGATTTAGATTATATGTATAAATTTGTATCAATCATCATTTACTGAGGCAAAGATTTGTTATTAGATTATTTTTATTGTTCTGTCTGGTTGAAGTTGGACTTGCATTTACCAATATTATTAAAAAAAAAACATTTACAGCTTCTAAGTATATGGAGTTTTATAGTCACAAAGTATAAAAGACAGAGCTGCATAGAGCACTTAAAGACTGTTGCCAACTCTATTTTGATTTTAAAATTTTGAGAGGTGTTTGTACATGTTCTTTTTTTATAAAATCCGGCTCGAAGGACCAAGTAGTATTAGTATTGGTCCTTCGAGCCGCTTCATTACTTGGTCGCGTATGCCATAGTGTATTTAGTGAGAGTAACGCAGTCTATATTTACATTCGTACGTGCTCTCAGTTATTCTTTTGCTACACGCAAGATTCTTGCTCTTTCTTCTAGTAAGACAGCTTTTCGAATGGGCGGTAAATTTTAAAAAAATAAGCGTGATTATTAAAAAAAGTTTAAATTTAAGTTACAAATGTTAAGAACTAGCAAGAGCTCGCAGATCCACGTGCTTTCACACCTGTGACTAGCGCGAAAATGAAAAGTATGAATGTAAATTATGTCATGTAACTATGTGGTACTTGTGGCTACCAGAGTGAGCAGGCAGTCACCACGATTGCGTACTCACACACTTGCTCGTACCGACGTGAACATGACAAGCATGAAGGTATATTATAAAGTAGTTATGTGTCGTACATGCGATGTGGTGATATGCGCGATGAGTGCGTGCTCGCAAATGTCTAATTATGACTTGTATATGGAAAGTATGAACTTGTATATGAAAATTTTAACATATCACGATGTCATGTGTACTCGATGAGTGCGAGCTCTCGCAAGCACAGTATATTATGATGAACATGTATATATGTGGTGTGTGTGGTATATCGTGAAGGCGAGGCGATATGCGCAGTGAGCACGAGCTAGCACTCTTGCTCTCATACCGACGAGAACATGACAAGCATGAAGGTATATTATAAAGTAGTAAAGTGTCGTACATGCGATGCGGTGATATGCGCGATGAGTGCGCGCTCGCACATGTCTAATTATGACTTGTATATGGAAAGTATGAACGGATATTTTAACATATCACGATGTCGTGTGTACTCGATGAGTGCGAGCTCTCGCAAGCACACTATATTATGATGAACGTGTGCGGTGTGTGGTGTGCGGTGTGTAGGCGAGGCGATGTGCTCTGTGAGCGCGTGCTCGCACGAGTGCCGGCCGTCGCCGGGCGGCGCGGTGTGCGCGTGCCCGGCGCCGCTGTACCTGCAGGCGGACCGCGCGGCGTGCGGCGCGCGGCCGCCGTGCGCGGCGTGGGGCGTGTGCTCGCAGCGCTGCCGCCCGCACAAGGCGCGCCACCGCTGCGCCTGCCACCGCGGGTACCGCCTCGCAGACGACGGCTTCACCTGCAAGAGCACAGGTACCCGCCCACCACCACACCTCTCACTCCCCACTACTCATCTCACTACTCACTCCTCACTCGTTCCTCACTCCTCACTCAATCCTCACTCTTCACTCTTCATTTCTTACTCATTCATCATTCCTCACTCCTCACCCCTACACGCTCCACGGGTCGTCTTATTTGTTAAAAGAAAACTAAAACTAACTATACACATGTTAAATCGATATAAACGACGCACTAAAACACTGACAGACTGTTCGGGTTATACCGAAACTTTATAAAGATTCTGATAAGTAAAACTAATAAATGATACTGATAAAAACTTGATTAAAACTGTATATTGAAACTCAAAATATAACTGATTAATGATTGAAATGAGTACGCGCCGCGTCCTTGATGAACTAATGCGAACTGATTTTAATGAAATGTGAAATGTAAAATAGAATGTTAACATTACGAAATAATGTACGATGCTAGCTCATACACAAACTTTTACAATAACATTCCATATCACTACATATAAAGGCAACACATTATAAAATTAGCAGAGATATTGTTATACACAGATAATCTAAAATCAATGTACGGTGTAACTATACATTTTATTGTTAAGAGCTTTACACGATATGCTCGATAAATAATAAGGGTACACACCCTTATTATTTATCAAGTTTATATGCTACTCAGCCTTCATATCCATATATTAAAATATCATTATATATACTAATATTAAATAAAGACAAACAAACATACACACACACATAATAATACATCAACATTATATTTACACTTATATCTACTTTTTCTATACTATTATTATACTATGTACATCACGCTTTATCATATTAATATAGGTACATCTTACACAGCTCAACAACCCCCACAAGTTCACTAACTAAGCTCAAATACAGGCGCGTACTCATTATGATTGTCTTTTTTTTATTATATTTTAGTTTCAATGAATTTGTGGTTTCAATAAATAACCACACATTCTTTTATGGCTCGGGACATAATCTGCAGGACTGATGTACATCAATATTTTTATATACATTCGGTTCCTCGAACTTCTTATTTGCATTTATTCGAAGGTCCAACATTTTGATCCTTCGAGCCGGATTTTGTAATACTTAAAAACAATGGTATACCAACAGAAAAGACGACACCACTGCTGGTGTACAGCAACCGACACGAGATTCGCGCAGTTGAACTGCCGGCGGCGACGTCTCGGGCGCTCATCTCCTCGCTGAAGAACACGATCGCGCTGGACTGGCGCCGCGACCCGACATCCGGCGCCATACAGCTGTACTGGACCGATGTTGTCGATGACAAGATCTACCGGGGCACCATGGTCGGCAGCGGTCGGTACCCTATACCTGTCATCATCATTATCATCATCAACATCCGCTTCATCCTTATCCCATTCATTTGGGGTCGGTGTAATATATTTTGCTTTTCTCATCTGATCTTAGTTTTATTTTATACTAGTGAAACTTATAGCCTACCCGAAATTTGTAGCCTATGTGTAAGCTACATTAACTGTAAAGTTTCATGAAAATCCGTTGAGTCGTTTTTGCGTGAAGGAGTAAACATCCATCCATACTCACACACTGTCGCGTTTATAATATTAATAAGATAAGATCAATTATAAGTCATGTTGTAAAATATCTCAATCGTAAACGAATTTAACGTTTTAGCACACCGCCTTTCTTCCGATCTATTATGTGGATAAAATTGCATCATAGCTAGCATTGTACCATGTCAGCTTGATTGAAGATCACTCCTTCTCGATTCCCTCTCGAAACCATCATGATAAATTCAACAGGAATTTACCTTTATGATTTCTTTTTTTTTCTCTTTATTTTGACACATACAGTCATTAAAAAAATTTATTATTACTAAAAAAACAAGACATTGAGTGTCCAAAATTAATGTAACAATAGTATTAACTAAAAGGTATCGTTTCGTTGACATTTACTAATAAATTAAATATGACAATTAACACAGATTTTTCTAAATTTCAAGAGTTTCATATTATTTAATGTATTTTCCATGTAGAAACCATTGTGGTAAATTCCTATTTAATTTATCAAGATGGTTTCGTGTTATTTCGAGTTATTTATTAATGTATTACAGCTCTAAGCGGGATTGAGGTGATCGTTGAACAAGGACTGTCGACTGCTGAAGGCCTGGCTGTGGATTGGATCGCCGGAAACCTCTATTGGGTTGAGAGCAGTCTACATCAAATTGAGGTACCACTCCATTCTCACTAAGAGCAATTACATTATAGTAGTGGTCCCCAGTGATTGAAATTCCACCATAATTAAAATTATAAATTTGATCATTATTTATGTTCTATTGTAAAAGACTTGCTTCACTTGTTAGTATATATTACTTTGATAATAGCGCAGGAACAAACCTCGTATCGTATGACATTATTTGACATTGACGTTGTATCAGTCGTGTAATGTAATGGGTACTGTGTATTATGTTTTATTTAGTCATTTTGTATTTACTAACTGTGCCCGCGGTTTTACTCACGTTAAATTTATATATTAGAAGGTATATATATATACCTTCCTCTTGAATCACTCTATCTATTAAAAAAACCGCTTCAAAATCTGTTGCGTAGTTTTAAAGATTTAAGCATACATAGGGACGGACAGACAGCGACAGCGACTTTGTTTATACTATGTAATGATATAAATATTTGACTTGAATTGCCGTATTTGATAAGAGTGGTGTTTACAGGTAGCGCGACTAGACGGCAAGTACCGACGGACGCTCATTGCCGGAGGAATGGAGAACCCACGCGCCATCGCCGCTGACCCACGCTTCGGTGAGTTTGACCTGCCTCATGGTTATGTTGTGAGGTAAAGAGAGTTCTATCTGTAGTGGTCAGTCTGATACATGACGTCCTTAAAAAATATTTACCATGACCGATTGTAAGAAGCACTTATTATGACGGACGACTGAGGCTTTGAAGCCGGATACCGCAAGGGAAACCCAAAGTAGCGACCGTGACTTGTGACACGGGTATAGGTTTAAAAGGCCCTTTTAGAATGCATTAATACTCTCCTTCACTACTTGCAGCTTCCCCCCAGGCCCAACTAAGACCGGGATAAACCCATTGCTAATACAATTCACTTTAATATCCAAAACACAACTGGCACGCTCTGCGCTCGTCGACTGAATGCCGCGGCTCACGCAACGAAAGAGGATTATTCAACTACCGACCTCTGTATTTATAGACCAAAGTCAGTGTAGTAGGTTGTTCTATAAATACTAGATGGCGCTATTTACAATATTCGTAGTAACCCTTACATTGGGTTCTTCATTAGTTCTAAAAACAAATTACCTTCTTTTAATATATTTTTAAAATATCGGATTTTTTCTACAATAATGATGTGAATTCTAATACTTAATCTCATGAGTGTTAAACAATGATTCAAATGCGTGTAGATATGTACAACATTTAAAAAAAAAATACGAGCTGAACTTCTTGTCAGTTCTTCTCAGCTCTAAATCATTCCGAACTGACGGCAGATTTGACATATCATAAGAGTCTGTAATAGACCTACATGAATAAAGATATTTTGAATTTTGTAGATACTATGTATTTTTTTTTTTAATAATGGGATTGCGCTTGGTCGTATCTTATCTGATGGTAAATGATGGCAAGACCTAGGATGTAGCGCGCTAACACAGAAGAAATCTATTCACCATAGAAGAATCCGGGGTTTACAAGACTGTTGTAATAATAGCTTTTCCATCATCGTTTTTTAAGTTACGATAGTGGCAAACAAACAAACGATCTATCAGCCATCTGATAGTAAACGAGTATCATAGCTTATGCCTGGACGTCTGAATCATCGGGGGTGTCACGTACGCGTTGTCGACCCTTAAGAAACCTTAATATTTTTATATTATACAATTTGTTTTACGTGGCATATATATATATATGAATGTTCCTAAGCTCAAAAGTTGACGTTTTTGTCACATCATATATATAATATGTAGATTTTATTGTATTATTATGATTGATAGCATTCGACTTTAGTTAATACTAGCTGTACACGCGACTTCGTTCGTGTGGAATTTAACTTTGTATTTCTAAAATAAAGGTAGCCTAAATTACTCCTTATTACATCAGCTACGTACGAATAAAACTTGGGTCTAGATGGCGCTGTGTGAATTGTCCTGAGATTATTATGTGGATAATGTTTAAAAATGAACGTGACCGGTGGGTGTGTGGGTGCGTGTGTGGGTGCAGGGTACCTGTTCTGGAGCGACTGGGAGCAGGCCGCGCCGCGCATCGAGCGCGCGTCGCTGTCGGGGACCTCCTCGCGCGCCCTGGCCGCCGCCGGCGAAATTTTCACTGTTATATTTTTACGCTCTTTATAAAAATATAAGTGGTGTATCTAGAATCATGGGTGTCTTTTTTAAATATAAAAGTTATAACCTATTTTAGAAAAAGTTTTTTTTTTTTTTTTGGTTAATCAGCGATATGTACAGGACAGAAGAAGGGGTCTGTAATGTGGATGGACCCCATCGTTAGCGATGTAGCGTGTCAGGTTAACTACCATGCGATTCACTTTAAAATATCTCTAAACGCTCGACCTTGTGCTCATCTTATCGTCTTCCACGCGCGCCGTTAGCTCTTCAAGTATCATTTAGTAGGGTATATTTATATATCGACGCCATGATCCCTAATCATAATAGTTGAAACGCTACCAAACTATCAGTAACTCAAAATAAACAATATAAAAAGTATATACTGTTTTAAACTTGACGCGGTCATTATTTATACGTATAATTAGTCAAAATCACGGGATCTTCTATCGGGTAAACAGTTTACCCGTGATCAGGTGGTTGAAACACTACTGAAATATCGGGAACTCAGCAAATAAATATAAAACGTTTATAAAAATATAAATTGAAAAAGAAACCAAATACCATGTCTTAATACTAATTATTAAACTACATTTCTCCACACATAAATCAAAACAATAACATTTTTATATAGCTCTATAATCATGGGTGTCTTTTTTTATATAAAAAATTATAACAATTTTTGGAAAAAAAATAGTTTTAATTTTGATTAATCAGCGATATGTACGGACACTGACAGAAGAAGGGGTCTGTAATGTGGATGGACCCCATCGTTAGCGATGTAGCATGTCAGGTTAACTACCATGCGATTCACTTGGAAAATGTCATGATAAATTTCTGCTGAATTTGTCACGATGCCCTGAACTTAAACTGATCTAACCTTGTGCTCATCTTATCGTCTTCCACTAATGCCCTACTGGCGTAAACCGTTAGCTCTTCAAGTATCATTTAGTAGGTATAAATATATTTATATATGAGGCAGTGTTTCAACCGCCTTGATGACGAATAAACCGCATGATCCCTAATCATAATGATTGAAACATTACCAAAATATCAGTAACTCAAAATAAATAATATAAAAAGTATATACTGTTTTAAACTTGACGCGGTCATTATTTATACGTATAATTAATCAAAATCACGGGATCTTCTATCGGGTAAACAGTTTACCCGTGACCATGTGGTTGAAACACTACCGAAATATCGGGAACTCAGCAAATAAATATAAAACGTGGTAAGATCCCGTGATTTTTATTAATTATACATATTAATATAAAAAGTAGTAAAATCGCCTGATTTTTCCTAGTTTTACATATTAAAAACCGACCGTTAAACTTAAACCAATGCTGCAGAATTGTCGGCCTTCCACTATATTTCCGTGGTAACTGTTGGCAGGCTGGACACGATCCACACGGCGACGTACGAGGGCTCTGACTTCCGCGAGGTGGTGCGGCGGCACGCGGCGCTGTCGCACCCGTTCGCGGTGACGGTGTTCGAGTCTCACGTGTACTGGACCGACTGGCGCACCAACAGCGTCGCGCGCGCCAACAAGTGGAACGGCAGCGACGTCACCGTCGTGCAGCGCACGCTCACACAGCCCTTCGACATCAAGGTGCGTACCACACGCGGGACACGCCACCACTCACACACCGACCTCACATGGTAGATTATAATCATAGGACCAATCACACAGCGACATCACATGGTAGATTATAATCATAGGACCAATCACACAACGATATGACATGGTAGATGATAATCACATGACCATTCACGCAACGAAATCACATGGTAGATTATAATCATAGGACCAATCACACAACGATATGACATGGTTTATGATAATCATAGGACCAATCACACAGCGACATCACATGGTAGGTTATAATCATATGACCATTCACATAGCGACATCACATGGTAGATTATAATCATAGGACCAATCACACAGCGACATCACATGGTAGATTATAATCATAGGACCAATCACACAGCGACATCGCATGGTAGATTATAATCATAGGACCAATCACACAGCGACATTGCATGGTAGATTATAATCATAGGACCAATCACACAGCGACATCACATGGTAAATAATAATCATAGGACCAATCACACAGCGATATGATATGGTTGATGATAATCATAGGACCAATCACACAGCGACATCGCATGGTAGATTATAATCATAGGACCAATCACGCAGCGACATCGCATGGTTGATGATAATCATAGGACCAATCACACAGCGATATGACATGGTTGATGATAAGCATAGGATCAATCACACAGCGACATCACATGGTAAATAATAATCATAGGACCAATCACACAGCGATATGACATGGTTGATGATAATCATAGGACCAATCACACAGCGACATCACATGGTAGATTATAATCATAGGACCAATCACACAACGATATGACATGGTGGATGATATCACAGGACCATTATCACAACGGTGGTGAATAATCTGGTCAACACACAACTAAGTAAATAATAATCTTGAATCACACAGGATATGACATGGTTACACAGGACCATTATCACAACGGTGGTCAACATCTGGTCGACAAACTAAGTTAAGCTTGAATTATAGGTACTAGACAACTGATATATAAATATATGTAACTCAAAGGTGACTGACATAGTGATCTATCAATGCACAGCCCAAACCAATGTACGGATCGGGCTGAAATTTGGCATGCAGGTAGATGTTTATGACGTAGGCATCCGCTAAGAAAGGATTCTGATTAATTCTGCCCCCAAGGGTATAAAATCGGGGATGAAAGTTTGTATAAAACTTTGTCAATTTTAAACCGATCGGGCTGAGACTTTGCATGCATAAAGTTTAGTAGCTATGACGTAGGCATCCCCTAAGAAAGGATTTTGATAAATTCCACCCCTAAGGGCATAAATTAACGCGAGCGAAGTCGCGGGCAAAAGCTAGTTAATATATTTTCTGTACATACTTACACAATATACATAGAAAAGATCCATATTAATACATGCAATCATATACATGAATACAAATGAATCAAATCTATCAAAAGTTAAGCAGTGCACTAAACCGCTTGCCACCGATGAACACCATATGTTATCCGCAAGCTATGTTGTGGGTACTAGTGATACAAGTCCTAGGTTGTTTGTTTGTCAGGTGATCCACCCGAGCCGGCAGCCGCCCAGCGAATACAACCCGTGCGGCGTCAACAACGGCAACTGCACGCACCTGTGTCTCATCGACAGCGCGGAAGAGCGCGTGTGTGCGTGTCCACACGTCATGAGACTCGCGGCGGACAACGTCACTTGTGAAGGTAAACACACATAGTTCCCTCCATTCGATATACCGTCCAATTCAAACAAGGATTTAAATCACTACGGTCTGAGCCGAGCTTCGAAGTCCTACCAGTGCTCTCAGACTAATATCTTAACAGCCAGTCAAGGGCAGTACGGACGAGCGTGTGTCCACACGTCATGCGATTCGCGGCGGATAACGTCTCCTGTGAAGTTAAACACACATATAGTTCCCTCCGATCGATCTCTAGACCAATTCAAAAGAGGATCGAAATTACAACGGCCTGAAATGAGGTTTGAAGCCTTACCGGTGCCCTCAGGTTAAAATCGTAATCATCAGTCATCGACAGCACGGATAGTGCGTATCAGCACGTTATGAGACTCGCGGCGGATAATGTTATCTGTGAAGGTAAACACACATTAGTTCCGGGCCATCCTCCGTCCAATTCAAACAGGGATCTAAATTACAACAAGCTGAAATGAGGTTTGAAGCCCTACCGGTGCCCTCAGTAATAATACCTCAATAGAGCCATAAGGTTGTGTGTACGTCTGTAGCGCACGAGAAGGTGCTACTAGTGGGTCGTCGCGGCAAAGTGTTTTCTTTCTTTGTCTTTTTTCTTTATTTAATCAAAGTCACATTCCACGTGTGGTATTATATATATTTAGAAAGCTAATAAAGTTGGTGTATGTCTGTAGCGCACGAGAAGGTGCTTCTGGTGGGTCGTCGCGGCGAAGTGCGCGGTCTGGACGTGCAGCAACCTCTGGAGCACACGATCCCGACGGTGTCGAGCCCGCACCTCACCGCGCCCTCGCAGCTGCACTTCCTCGCCGCGGACCGCGCCATCTACTGGGCAGACGCGGAGGTCAGTACGCGGATCCACTCCTTGTGTACACAAATTAACAAATTTTAACTATCTGTATACATGTAATTAGTAAAAATCACAAGATCTTATTACCTTTTTGTTTAATTGAGTTCCCGATATTTCGGCAGTGTTTCGACCGCCAAGATCACGGTTAAACTGACAGTACGCGGCTTGTTGTTATTTGTGCAAATAAATAAAATTTATCTGTCTGTGTATATACGTATAATTAGTAAAAATCACAGGACCTTACCACGTTTTATTTTGATTATATCCTCGATATTTCGACAGTGTTTCAACTGCTATGATCACGGGTAAACTTACTGTAGCTGAGTTTCAGGCTTTCATGACATGGACACGGGAATACGCGTGCTGACGGCGCGCACGGTCCGTCTTGGTCTCTTTGTCTACATTTATTAAAGAAAAAAGAGATCTATGTATTTGTATCAATTATCTAGTACCCATAATTAAACTAACATAAGTTTTAACTAGCTGGGGTCTAGATAGCGCTGTGTGATTTTTCTTGAGATTATTATTATTTACGTGCACACTCTTTATTGTGCGAGAGCGTATATATAAGCTCTACGTTCTTTCGCGCCCTTTTATGACACGAACATAGGAATGCGCGAGCTAGCGGCGCGCACGTACCGTCTCGTTCTCTTTGTCTACATTTATTACATGTATAATATATATAACCTTGGTAAAGTATTAGGCGCCCCAGAAAAATGCACTATTCATGTTTACCAATTGAACAATGAATAAATGCTTATCTTAGATGGCATACCGGGGTCACAAATATAATATATATGGTCATATTTATGAACAAAAATTCGATTTTTTGCATTATTATTATCAATCAGTATTCAAGACTCTAACTAGTAAACAAGTTTTTATATCTGATTCAGTGATTAAATTGACGCCTAATTTGTAAAAATCGAAAATAAGTGAAATTAGTTTGGAAAATCGGTTCGAATTGTTCTGAGATGATTATTATTATTATTTACGTATACGTTCTTTCACGCCCTTTTATGACACGAATACGCGTGCTGGCGGCGCGCACGGTCCGTCTTTGTTCTGTTTGTCCACATTTCATATTTTCGTTCTCTCTATTTACGTGTACACACTTTGCTGCGTGACAGAGCGTACATATAAGAAAGTGGGGATACTGATGCAGGCGAACGAGATAAAGCGCACGGGCCTGACGGGCGGCGGCGTGCGCGTGGTGGCCGACAGCGGCGTGGAGTCTCCGCGGGGGTTCGCGCTGGACTGGGCGGCGCGCCTGCTCTACTTCACCACGGGCGCCGCGCTGGCCGTGGTCGGCGTCGAGGGCCACCACTACACGCTCGTCTACGAGGACAGCTTCGACAACGTCTCCACGCTCGCCGTCGACCCGATCAGGTATCGCCGTCTCTTTCTCTCGACTATTTATATTTCACGCAGTTATTGCGTCGGTTAGTTATTTGTTTATTGGGAAAGCCAACAGCTACCATGCAATCATTTATTATGTATGTAACTGTTTATTCAGTTAACCAGTAACTCAATGGTGACTGGCATAGTGATCTATGAACGCACAGCCAAACCACTGGACGGATCGGGCGACGGCGACGAAATTTAGCATGCATGTAAATGTTATGACGTAGGCATCCGCTAAGAAAAAATCGTGATTAATTCTACTCCCAAGGAGATAAAATAGGGTATAAAAGTTTGTATGAAACATTGTCAATTTTAAACCGATCGGGCTGAGACCTTGCATGCATAAAGCTACTATGACGTAGGCATCCCCTAAGAAAGGATTTTGATTAATTCCACCCCTAAGGGGATAAATTAATGCGAACGAAGCCGCGGGCAAAAGCTAGTTATACATAAAAAAGAGGTAGGTTTGTATATATAATATATGTACACTCGTGCGAAGCCGGGGCGAATAGCTAGTAAATAAATATACAGAGAACTTCTTGGTAAAGTGCTAAATTACCGAGGTTCTCAATGAGAGTGATATGGGCGTAAAGTTTGTTGTGTGTGTGTGCAGGGGCTCGTTGTACTGGGCGCGGCAGACTGCCGCCGGGTGGCAGGTGGAGACGGCGCAGTGCGACGGCAGCCGCCGCCGAGTACTGCTGGACCGCCGCGCCGACCCAGACCTCGCCCACGTGCACAGTACGCACACACTACTACGGACACGCACGCACCTACACTACGCAATATTTTTTATTATAAAACTTCTATATAGACAGAGTGTATTAGGATTTTTCGGTCAGGATACCACTATAATAATAATAATAATCTCAGGACAATTCACACAGTGTCATCTAGACCCAAGTTAAGCTAGCTAAAGCTTGTGTTGTGGGTACTAGATAACTGTATATGTATATACAATATACATAGATATTTTTTTTTGTAAATACATACATATTATACCGATATATAGATATATTAGACCGATACAAACAATCATAGTCATGAATACAAATGTTTGTGCCGTGCGAGGAATCGAACCCGCGACCATCGGTCGTCGCGGTGTGCTTGACCGCTAGACCACCGAGGTCGTCAAGTAATAAGTACTATAATAATAATAAATACATTAAATCAATAAAAACAATATTTCACACAATACCATGTATTTGACACACACACTCATAAAAATAAGTCTTTGACAATAGAACGTAAATAATGTTCATACTTAAAACGAGGTGTATTAGGGGGGAAGGGAATTGTTAGTAACTAGTGGATGATGGGATCACCATTACTAGCTAAATACCGTATCAAGTTGACCCCCACCTCCACACGGTTTTTTAATGGAATGGTGCTCCCGCCTGCGCTAACGGTTTACGCTGGGGGAACCGCGTGGAGGTCGACCTGACATGGTACATTGCTAGTCCTGAGTCCGCATCAGTAACAATCACCTCACCCCCCCCCCCCCCCTCTCCATTGTATTATCAGCAGAGATACATATGTATAACGTTGTCGGTACTGCGCAGGCATGGTGGTGGATCACAAGCTGAACCGCATTTACTGGGTGAACACCGCGTCGGCAACCATACAGTACATCGATAGATCTGTAGACAAACATAGCACGGTAAGTACACCACTGAAATCGTAAAAAAAAAATTATACACTGGTTGGGAAACTACTCTGCTACCAAAATGTTAGGGAATTTACTCTCTGTATATATATATTGAAAATGAGTGGAAGCGTCAGTCACATACCTGTATGGTTCTGCGGATTTCTTGGGCTTCAGGGTCTCGAACATATCTTCGCTAGCTTTCCAGTTTCACAGTAGGTTTCACAGTTCTAATTTATTTTAATTCACAACACAATGTTAAGTCGGTTCAGTACAACCAAAGGCGCGGGAACAGAAAACTAACGGACTCTAATATAATAATCTGTGCTTACGATGTTACAGGGTAGATTTTGAACATACACTACTATGTACTTTTTTTGTATGTGATAATGAAATGGGGCACCCGCCTACGCTGGCGGGGCACGAGTGGAGTGATAATATGAGCATGAGGTCAGGTCAGTTAGCCCATCGTGACAAATTCACCTGTAATTTATCACGATGGTTTCCAGGGAGAACTGCGTGGAGGTCAACCTGACATAGTACCTCTACCTCTACTCTTGACCCCATTGATAGCAATGGGGTCATCCTCACGGGTAGGTAACGAACTTTGAAAAAGGCGAGCACAATAGATCGTTTGAGCCCAAACTTCCCAATAAAAAAAACAAACATTAGATTATGATAGGATGAGTTATTTTTAAACATACATGTTTAATTTATTACATAGTATAAAACAACGTCGCTGTCGCTGTCTGTCCGTCCCTATATACGCTTAAATCTTTAAAACTACGCAACGGATTTTGAAGCGGTTTTTTTAAATCGATGGAGTAATTCAAGAGGAAGGTTTATGTGTATACATGTACACCCGTGCGAAGCCGGGATGAGTAGCTAGTTGTTTATATTATTATGAATGACTACAATGCGTGGACTTAATTACAATTTTAACTTTTGTTGTGAGATATATAATTTTTCTATTGCATAGTTATCAATGTTTAATATTAGAGTTACTTATTATAAATTTATTAATGAAATATTGTAATTTAAATATTGTAATGTGTGAAAACTGTGATTGTTTGTGGGACAGCCTATGCTGTAAATACTATAAATGACTTAGTGGAGTAACTTGAAACAGTCAAAGTTCAAACTTGTAGCGGCGTGGTGGACCGAATCAGTGTGCTTCCTCTAATATAGTTGAGTGCAATGATGGCTGGCTCATCGGTCATACTCGTGAACGGGTGCTGTGTGGAGCTGCTCTGTTCGAGTTGCGAACACTGAAATTACAATAGCATATGGTGGCAGTCACTCTATTCGCCCAAATTTGAATTTTAAAATGATTCTGGATTATTTTAAACAATATTTGAAAAGGATAAGATCCGAGTTTCTTGTTAGTTCTTCTAATTTCGTATAAAAACATCTCTCAACTACCCAATCGCACGATTGTTTTTGGGGGAAATGGTGTTTATTGATTTATCGCTGAGTGTCCCCGGTGACCGCCAGTGGCCCCTATGGCCCTCGGCGACCCCCGGCGACCCCCGGCGACCCCCCCGCGACCCCCCGCGACCCCCTGTGACGTGTGCGGTGTCGACAGCTGCCGCTGCCGGGCGGGTCGTGGCCGGCCGCGCTGGAGGTGTACGGCGAGGAGATCATCTGGGCCAACGGACGGGACGACTCGCTGTACGCCTGCCGACACGACGGAAAGGGGCTGCGGCTGCTCAGGAACAACACGCGTAATCATCTCTTTCATCTTACTATTATACTACCCACTAAAAACTAAAATACCATCCTGATCCATCTAGATTATTCTAGTTGAATGACGGTTTACCACTGTGCTTTATTCAGAAACTTTTTGCCACCTACAACCACATTGAAGAGTATAGTATATCCCGATGCGAATAATTAACGCTGGACAATTAACACAGCGCTATTTAGTCCCACAGTAAGCAGAGTTTGGGTTATGAGTACTAGACAACTGATATAAATACATTTTTTTGTAAACACATACCCAATATACATAGAAAACATCCAGACTGATACAAATAATCATACTCATAAATACAAATGTTTGCACCGTGCGAGGAATCGAACCCGCGACCATTAACAGTAAAGCGGTGTGCTAAATCGTTAGGCCACCGAGTCCATCCGTCATTATCCAATCCAGACTCCTGAAGTACAGTATAATTGTCCATGCATTATTTAAAACGTACTCTGGAAGTACAGTATAATTCACCATACATTATTTAAAATGTACTCTGGAAGTACAGTATAATTGTCCATGCATTATTTAAAACGTACTCTGGAAGTACAGTATAATTCACCATACATTATTTAAAATGTACTCTGGAAGTACAGTATAATTCTCCATGCATTATTTAAAACGTACTCTGGAAGTACAGTATAATTCTCCATGCATTATTTAAAACGTACTCTGGAAGTACAGTATAATTCTCCATGCATTATTTGAAACGTACTCTGGAAGTACAGTATAATTGTCCATGCATTATTTAAAACGTACTCTGGAAGTACAGTATAATTGTCCATGCATTATTTAAAACGTACTCTGGAAGTACAGTATAATTGTCCATGCATTATTTAAAACGTACTCTGGAAGTACAGTATAATTGTCCATGCATTATTTAAAACGTACTCTGGAAGTACAGTATAGTTCTCCGTGCATTACTCAATGCATACTAGGGAAGTACAGCAGGTTGTTGTCCGCAGCGGGCGTGATGTCGCTGCGCGTGTACGACGCGGCGGTGCAGCGCGGCGGCGGCGGCGCGTGCTCGCTGCGGACGAGGTCGTGTGCGCAGCTGTGCGTGCCCGTGTCGCGCACCGACTCCGTCTGCCTCTGCGCAGTCGGGTACCGCCGCAACGGGGACGCCTGCGAAGGTACCACAGATTCTATTACCGCACGGTTTTTGTACGCGACGGAATCAATTAGGAAATAAGTTTTAGCCGTAATTACTATAATAAGTCATCCCCAATAAAATATATAACCTAGTGTTTTTTATTGCCCTAAATATAAGTAAAGTGAATAAGATCAATTTTGTTAATAATAATATGTAAAACTGGTAGAAAATAAAGACACGCAACGTACAGTTTCAGTAGGGAAGGCCACCCGTCGGGCGTCTATATAAAGAGCGCGGTCCGCATTGACTGGCGAGACCCGATAGGTGCCGCCTTCCTACTAAGTGCAAACAACCGAGCATTTTTACTTCGTCGTCCAACCGTACGACCGTATGACCAGGGATCCTATAGTATATAGTCCTGTCACCAACAGTTTTATTACATTGCACATTTAATTTAATCTTAGGATCGAAGTTAAGACAGGTTCGAAGACCTAGTGGTACCCTCAGAATAAAGTCGTACTTGTCAAGTAAGAGTTGGCCTTCATGCGCATCGCCTTCATCGTCCGATGAAGTTGTAGAGGCCAGCTACGGCCAACAGTATCTAATACTTCGAAAAATATATATGACAGATTATTAGTTGATAAGTAAACAGTAATAAACACAGTATATCCAGGTATTTATTTAGTGGCATTATTATTACATTTTGATCAATAAAAGTGAAAAAAAATTGAATTGTGAGATTGTACTGTGCGATGAATCGAATCTGCGGCCATCGGAAGTAAGGGGGTGTGCTAAATCGATAGACCAAGGGTAGTCATCGAGGTAACTGACCTTACGTCACGTTGTCGTGTGTGCAGCGCTGGACGAGGTGGCGGTGGTGTCTCTGAGCTGGGAGGTGGTGGGCGTGGCGCTGAACGCCAGCGCTGACAGCGCCGCGCACTCGCTGCTGCCGCCCGTGCCGCAGCTCTCCGTCGCAGCCGCCATCGACTACCACGCAGGTCTGAGTACTTATATTTGTATCTATATCTATATGAATATCTATATCTGTATTAAAACAATAAATATACAGGGTGTCCCGTAAGTAGTGGTCAACGGGTTATGGGGGGTAGTAACCTAACAAGAATACTAAAATTTACAGCCCTAGGTCTTGTAGTTATTAAGTTATGTTTTGTTTTCAAAATGTTGTGAAAATATCATCCATATAAGCTAAATTAAATAATGTAGCTGAAATAGTAAAAAAAATGAGCAGGCTTGTAGAAATTTACGCAGGAAATTTAAAATTGGTCCACTACTTGTCCACTATGGGACACCCTGTATTTTTTTTAACAGATGGTAACGGAATTGTGTACTCGCCTACGCTAACGGTTTATGCTGGCGGGGCCAGTGGAGAATGATAAGATGACCCTAAAGTCCGGTCAATTAGCCCATCGTGATCAATTCATCTGGAATCCACGTCGGTTTCCAGGAGGGACTCCATCGAGGTCAACCTGACATGGTCTATCACTGGCAATGAGACCGATCCCTATAACTAGTAACCCCCTTTCCGACCAATTGGAAAAAAATTGTAATATAAAAACTTTTACGTTCATAAGCGTTAAAGTTATTGCACATATAATACAAAGCTATTATAATTTAGAGATAATGTGAGCAAAGGTGGACTTATCCCTAGAAGATCTCTTCCAGTCAACCTAAAACAGTGGGATATGTGGTACTGAGTGGGTAATAACTGGTGCAAACAAAAATCTCAAACTACTAAAACGTACTACATGAATAAATTATTTTTGAAGTTGAATCGCTCGTACTATACTGATTGTAATGGTCCATCCGCTACGCAGAGGGCGAGTGGCTGTACTGGGCGGATTCGGAAGCTGGGCGAGTGTGGCGCGTGCGGCGGGACGGCACGCAGCGCCAGCTCGTGGTGCAGCAGCCCGACGCCCCCGACGCCGCCACCGACGACTGGCGAGCCGGTATCTCCTCTCTTTCTCTAAGACAACTGGCGTGCGCCGACTCTCTTACGATCACGATTACGACTGTAGTTTTATGCTTCATCCCTAGCATATATAGAACATAATTGGATGAGAATTTTTATTGACATCTTTTCTACAGTTTTTCTCATTATATTATAGCACATTCACTTGTGAGCAAGCCTGCTTGTAGATACTGATTTATTCAGGTTATTGCCACTGATTATACTTTACTTTTGACAATATTGCAAATGCATATGCTGGTGGTCACTCTATTCTCCCAAATTCGAATTTAAAAATGAATCTGTATTTTTGTTAATCATGTACACGCTCATTTAAAAAGATTAACAGCTGAGTTTCTTGTCAATTCTTCTCAGTTCGAAAGCACTTCGAACTGACTGTAGATTTGACATATGTTAAGAGTCAGTAATAGACCTACATGTATAAAGATGTTTTGATTCAGTGATCGGTAACGGTGGTCTGTGGTGGTCAGGTCTGGCGGTGGACTGGGCGGGCGGCGCGGTGTACTGGTCGGACCCTCGCCGCTCGCTGGTGCTGGTGGCGCGGCTGGACGGCTCGCACGCGTACGTGCTGCTCGACACGGACCCCCTCGCCGTCACCGGTACGTACCCAACCGCAACTCATCTCTTATTTAAATGCATTTGATTTTTTTAACATTTAATATTCTAATAGAAGAATGTAGAATTATCTAAGAGAAGTGATAAGAGTTTTTTTATTGTATGATAATGAAATGATGTACACCCCCCTGCGCTAATAGATTACGCTTGGGGCGCCGGAGGTAGATGAGATCAGGTCAATTATTTTATAGTGAGAAATTTATCAAGAATTAATCCAGATGATTTCTAAGGGGACTACGTAGAGGTCAACCTGACTTGGTACATTCTTAGCAATGGGATCATCAGTTCACATTACTATCAATCCCCTTTCTCCACACTCATGAGTAATATTACAAAATTGTGACCTTATGACGGTATGACCGTGTACACGTGTCATAGTGTGCCCGTGTGAGGATATGAGCGTGTAGTTGTGTGCCCGTGAGACTATATGACCGTGTGCCCGTGAGACTATATGACCGTGTGTCCGTGATACTATATGACCGTGTGCCCGTGGGACTATGTCCCCGTGTGGGCGTGTGATGGTGCGTGCATGTAAGTGTGAGGTGGGTGGTGCCGGCAGCGCTGGCGGTGGACGCGGGCCGCGGCTGGCTGTTCCTGGCGGGCGGCGGGTGGGTGCAGCGCGCGCGGCCCGACGGCTCGCACCGCGACCTGCTCTACAACGGCACCGCCGTCGCGGACATCGCGCTCGACACGCAGGTGTCCACACTCATACCTACTAACGCCCTACGCAACTTTTTTATCACAACTATTCTAAAAGCTACCTTTACACGTACGATCTTTCACGCGGGAATCGGATTTGACCCAGAATATAATGTAGACAAAGAAAAATAAAAACCGCGTGCGCTTTACCGCATTTTTTAAGTAACACAAAGGACATCTGACTGTAAAATGTAGACAAAACTATAGCGTTATTGGTAATTGCCAGCGTAGGCAATTGTGAGTACGTGTAAAGGCAGTTAATGGAATGTGAATGCTAATGAAATACGTAGCTCCTTTTTTTTCGAAGTATTCTAATTCTGTTGGCCTCAGCTAGCGTTTACAATTTTACCGGTTTATAATAGGGCAGGAGTGCAGATGGCACTCCAAACCCGCATAAGGACTGATGGAACGGCTGACTGTCAACTCCTGCCTGACGAATATGACTTTAATCTGAGGGACCGCTAGGGGCTCGAACCTCAACTCAGGCCTTCGAAAGTCCTAATGATGGTGCTACTAATTACAAGACCACTTACTCTCCCACTTCAAAAAATCAACTGTTACAACATCCCCACACCTATACTCAACCACGCCACACAAGAGTTTAACTTATCAGGTTGAGCAATCCACTTTACTTATGTTCATGCAGACGCATTATATATTCTATGTATACGATATTCCTTTCTAAATCCTTCGTGGGATACACAGAACGAGATGGTGTACTGGGCGGACACGTGGGAAGCGTCTGTATGGCGCATGCGGTACGACGGCTCGCAGCGCACCCGCCTCCCGCGCCCCGCGCCCCCCCGTCGACTGGCCGTCGCCGCGCTCGCCGTGCACCGCGGCACGCTCTACTGGCTCGACACGTAACTATCGCAGTGTAGTACACCGCGCTCGCCGTGCACCGCGGCACGCTCTACTGGCTCGACACATAACTATCGCAGTGTAGTACACCGCGCTCGCCGTGCACGGCGGCACGCTCTACTGGCTCGACACGTAACTATCGCAGTGTAGTACACCGCGCTCGCCGTGCACCGCGGCACGCTCTACTGGCTCGACACGTAACTATCGCAGTGTAGTACACCGCGCTCGCCGTGCACGGCGGCACGCTCTACTGGCTCGACACGTAACTATCGCAGTGTAGTACACCGCGCTCGCCGTGCACCGCGGCACGCTCTACTGGCTCGACACGTAACTATCGCAGTGTAGTACACCGCGCTCGCCGTGCACCGCGGCACGCTCTACTGGCTCGACACGTAACTATCGCAGTGTAGTACACCGCGCTCGCCGTGCACCGCGGCACGCTCTACTGGCTCGACACGTAACTATCGCAGTGTAGTACACCGCGCTCGCCGTGCACGGCGGCACGCTCTACTGGCTCGACACGTAACTATCGCAGTGTAGTACACCGCGCTCGCCGTGCACGGCGGCACGCTCTACTGGCTCGACACGTAACTATCGCAGTGTAGTACACCGCGCTCGCCGTCACGGCGGCACGCCTGGCTCGACACGTAACTATCGCAGTGTAGTACACCGCGCTCGCCGTGCACCGCGGCACGCTCTACTGGCTCGACACGTAACTATCGCAGTGTAGTACACCGCGCTCGCCGTGCACAGTACAATGTGGAATCTCTTACCAGCAATGCTATTTCCGAACCAATACGATAGTAAAACTTCAATTTCTTTTTAAATGACCAAGCGCACTTGAAATTCCCCTGGTGCTACGGATACTCATGAGCGAAGTTAATCACTTACCTTAAGCTGGTTTGTGCTATAAAAAAAATGTAATCTCACCGTACTACCAAAACACAGCTTACAAACGACTTCTTATCATTATATCTGTTTGTAACATGGTGTTTCTCCTGCGCTAGGATGGTGGAACACGGCAGCCTGCTGGCGGCGCCGGTGAACAATATGAGCGACTACCGCGTGCTGCGCGACAAACTCGGTGACACACTCAAGGATATATTTGTAAGTGAACAAATGTTTCACTTCGCGCAATTCGAAACGTGTCGGTCGGTGCGAGAGTACACAACGGAGAGGGCTGTGTCCGCAGATATGGTCCCGCGCGGCGCAGTCGGCCCCGGGCGGCGCCGCCGGGTCGCCGTGCGCGGGCGGCGGCGGGTGCGCCGCGCTGTGTCTGTGGGACGGCGCGCGGCCGCGCTGCGTGTGTCCGCACGGGGACCTCGCGCCCGACGGCCACAACTGCACCCGTGAGTACACGCCCCGCACGTGGGCCTGCACGTGCAAGTGTTTTGTTTTATACTTCGATAGTGGTACTGCACCCGTGAGTACACGCCCCGCACGTGGGCCTGCACGTGCACGTGTTTTGTTTTACACTTCGATAGTGGTACTGCACCCGTGAGTACACGCCCCGCACGTGTGCCTGCACGTGCACGTGTTTTGTTTTACACTTCGATGGTGGTACTGTACCCGTGAGTACACGTCCCGCACGTGTGCCTGCACGTGATTTATTTAACACTTTGACGGTGGTACTACACCCGTGAGGACACGCCCCGAACTTTTTTCTCCCTACTCTAATGCTGTTACCCTCAGCTGCCTTTACACCTTCACCGGATGATAGGGGGCGAGTGCACTACAAACCAAAGAAGGACTTATGAGCGGCTGAAGACTGACTTCCGCCTCAAACGCCGCGCACGTGTTCCTGCACGTGCACGTGTTTCTTTTTACACTTCAATGGTGTCAAACAAGCCTACAGCTTATCTGATGGTAAACGGTTACTGTAGCCAGTTTGAAACACTATTCTTTATTTGAATAAACTTTATTTTGTACATATTTGTGTTAAGTATATACACTGTCGAAAAGCTTTGAATGTATGTAATTTTTTTAATAAGTCACCTTTGAAGTAATTGGACTGGAGCAATCATAGAAGATATTAACGTTTATTTATTTATTTCATTTATTCCTAAGTATTAGAAATGTCAATAAATATAGAAGTAATTTAATAATAATTTACAAATTGTTCAATCTGTTCACATTAACATTGATTCCTATACTAGGCTAGGCTTATACAGCAGAAACCAAAGGCTTTAAACTCGCACTCTGACTTTGATACGCGCATCGTATTCCGAGATTTTTTTTGTGGATGATAATGAAGTGGTGCACCCGCCTGCGCTAACAGTTTACGCTGGCGGGGCACCAGTGGAGGATGATAAGATGAATATGAGGTCAGGTCAGTTAGCCCATCGTGACAAATTCACTAGGAATTTATCACGATGGTCTCCAGGAGGAACCGCGTGGAGGTCGACCTAACATGGTATATTGCTAGCAATGGGAATTACTAGTTCCCATTACTAACAACCCCCTTCCCCCTATTTCGAGTTTTTTTTTATGATAATGGAATGGTGCACCCGCCTGCGCTAACGGTTTACGCTGGCAGGGCTCCAGTGGAGGATGATAAGATGAGCATGAGGTTAGGTCAGTTAGCCCATCGTGACAAGCTCACCAGGAATTTGTCACGATGGTTTCCAGGGGGAACCGCGTGGAGGTCAACCTGACATGGTACATTGTTAGCAATGGGGTTATCAATCCACATTACTAACAATCCCCTTTCTTTCCCCCCTATTTCGAGATATTAGATAGTACGTATATAAATTGATAATGGTCTCAGGATATTTACTATTTTAACAGAGTAGGTTTACTTCTTTGGACGGTAGGGAAAAAAAACTAAATTATAATATAAAAAAATTGACCTTCCTAAGCGGCTAAAATATCCTACATGAATAAATGATTTTTGAATTTGAACTGAATAATAAATAATAATAGTAAGTCCATTTATTGCCAATATCAGTATAGTAATATAGTTACACATTTATACATGTTCAATATGATTGGCAATAGGTACAAACTCAGCTATTGCTGGACTGATGGGCGTCCAGCGCTGGTTTTCAGTTGTATCTACGCAGCCGTACCTAATCACACGTGCTAGATAACCATACCGAAACATAATGAAATAAAAATTTAACAAATTAATACATAAATAATAATATCCATACGGATTACCGATACACACGTGACATGCATGCAACGCTTGTGTGCCTACACAAAAATTCACATTTTATGTCGAGATTTCTTGCCGCTATCCAAGGACTGTCTCTGTCTAACTAATATAATATTCCTTAAAGAATTTTTCAATTTTAGCGGTATTATCATTTGGCGTAATGACGTAATTCGTAAATTTAAAAGTAAGTAGTTCATTTTATGATGAGTTTTATATATTAACCATTTTGCAACATGTTTATTTCTACATATCTTATTGAGAAAATATATTTCTAATAATTAGGCCTATATCCAGCAGTGGACTGAAGTGATGATGATGATGGAGTAATGTATAATATAATTTTGTTATATACAGCATACAAATCGTTCCTGATGTACTCTCGCGTCACCAGTATCGAGAGCATACACCTGACTGACGAGAAGGACCTCAACTCGCCCTACCCGTCCATACAGAACAAGTAAGTTATTGCCTATTCACTCGCACATACTTTTAATCTGATGTTGTAATATAGTACTAGTTGTACTAAATTACACAAAAACGTTTTATTGTTAGGTGTAAACTCTAGAGTTTATAACCTACTAATATTACTAAGTTAATAAAGATCCGGCTCGAAGGATCAGAACATGTTTGTGGTATTAAATGAAGATCATCGCTCTGATAAAGATCTCTTCTAATACAAAATTTATGTCTTACTATTTCGTATATCACAAACTTTGCTTTACGAAAACAAGAAATAAAAAAAAAATTGATGATTTTAAAAATTGAAATGTATGTTGAAAGTAGTTAAGTATAATTTTATTTCTGGCTAACTAAACGAATTCATTATATACATAGAACACTCTTTGAAACGCCGTATTAATATTTATTCTTTGTTTAATAAAGACTAAGAACTAGTCAAGTGTAAACTTAATCTGACGTACTATAGGTATTCTACTATTCATACTATAGGTATCCACTCATTCATTTGTTATTCTTGTCTGAAATCTAAATTATAAACTCAAAGGTGACCGACATAGTGATCTATCAACGCACAGCCCAAACCACTGGACGGATCGGACTGAAATTTGGCATTCAGGTGGATGTTATGACGTAGGCATCCGCTAAGAAAGGTTTTTGGTTAATTCTACCCCCAAGGAGATAAAATAGGGGATGAAAGTTTGTATGAAACTTTGTCAATTTTATACTGATCGGGCTAAAACTTTGTAGGCATAAAGGTACTATGACGTAGGCATCTCTTAAGAAAGGATTTTGATAAATTCCACCTCTAAGGGGATAAATTAACGCGATCGAAGCCGCGGGCAAAAGCTAGTTAAATAATAATTGACTAATGGACCTATTTGCATGAGGATGTTTTTATTTGTTTAATAAAAATTGTAATACGTCAACGTATAAACTTAATCAGAATCAATCAAGCCAAATATACCGTTATTTGCCTTGCTATTTGACATAACATATATATCCATTTATTCATTCATTTGTCATTATTATGTCAAATTGAACAATAATTGATTAATAGATCTACTTGACTATAAATATTTTTAGTTATTTAATAAAAATGTGTGTATATATTATTTTGTGCGCACGCGCAGGGAGCTGATGCGCAACGCGATCAGCCTGGCGTACTCGTACAACGAGTCGCGGCTGTTCTACTCGGACATCCAGCGCGGCTCCATCAACACCGTGCTGTTCAACGGCACGCAGCATGAGCTGCTCATAGACCGTGAGTCGCTTTTTATCACTACTATAAAATACGTATATTTACATAAGTTAATTTATTAGAATAGAAAATTATGCACATATGTCAAATAGATATATTTCATATTATAAATATTCGAACTAGCGACTGGTATAAGTTTGTTAATGACAACTACGATGGTGGCAAAAAATACGGCCCATCTGAAAAATGGTTATCATAAGCGGCTAACAATGTCACGTGCGCATGAATAAATGATTTTTGAATTTGAATTTGAATTTAGAACTTTTAGTACACAAACTACATACTAGATGGCGCTGTGTTAAAAGTATACTGCAATATTGTTTCGTTCTAGTAGTGTGTATATATGTACGCCATTTTGTCCATATAAACCCTTTTTAGTTCAACAATCGTTGGTTGTTTTGTTTATTTATTATCACCAGAGGACGCTGTAGTAGTCCAGAGTTTAGTGTTGGGTTGTACAATATCCTTCTTGAAAAACTCCATGCTGTAGTCTCGTGGGAAAACCTCGGCAGGTAGTTCATTCCACAATGTAATAGTATGCGGGAGGAAGCTCCTCTAAAACCGCACTATCTGAGACTTAGATTGTAGCATGTAGGAATGAATTCCTTGTCGATGATCGCTACATTGTATCTCAACTCATCTCACAGGCATCTGTCTATTGATGATAATGATAGTGGAGTTTTACACAGCGCTACGGACATCACGTTATGATGTACCTTCTGCAATATGCATGAGTCCCTTATCATGTTATTTCACTATTTTTATCTTACCTCTCAACGCATACACTGCTTAGAAAGCAAGGTACTTGGTCGATACAGGCGAGACTGAGGTACTCGCGCAGACGTAGATTTCTATATAAAGTCAATCTCGGTAAAAATAAAGGAATTAACCGAAGTTTTATGTGCAATGTCGTATAAGTTACTTCCCGGTGTCCTAGTGAGATAATGTCGTAATGTGGGTGTGGTGTAGAGGTGGGCGCGGTGGAGGGGATGGTGTACTGCGCGGAGACTGGCTGGCTGTACTGGACCTGCAACAGCGCGGCCAGCGTGCGGGGCGCGCGGGTGCGGGGGGGCGCGCCGCGGCCGCGCACGCTGCTGCGGCTGCCGGCCGGCGACCACCCGCGGGGCATCGACCTCGACCCCTGCCACAGGTTACCATCGTCTCACTAACACGTGCCTTTACATCGTGTAGATAACTGATATATAAATACATTTATAAATACATACATATTATATATAGAAAACACTCAGACCGATACAAACAATCATACTCATGAATACAAATGTTTGTGCCGTGCGAGGAACGAACCCGCGACCATCGGACGTAAAGCGGTGTGCTAGACCGCTAGACCACCGAGGTCGTCAATATTTAATACTCTCTGTCTGTTAATAATTACTAATAACATGATATGTTATATAATAGCACAAAGTAGTTCATTCTTTCGTGCATGATGTCATATCAACGTACACGTAACGTTCATATGATATAATACTTTTGTTATAATCTTATATTTATTTTTCCAGAAACACGTTTCTTAGATACACGTTTAAAATATAACTATTATTATGTTTTTGCTGCATACCCAGATGTCCGCAAATTAGACAATTAGTTATTACTAGCTGTACGGGCAACCGCACATGCCTGCTTACTGTGCAATACACAATTGCCTACACATGCAATTTCACTTCTATACATTTCACACCTCATTATATTTATTTTAGTAATAAAAATCAGTGTTCGAGTAGCATTCAACCAAGGCGGTTTTATTTAACAAAAACCCCTCATCAATCAATCAATAGCATTATCACGGAACTGTGGGCTTAAACCCCCACACTAGCTTTACCCGCAACTTACCACGAGCCTACCAGACGTGCTCACTCACTTTACACTGTCCTTTACGTTGCTGCAATCTTTCCTGTGTGAAAGCCTATTCGTGCGTGAAAGAACAAACGTATAAAGGCAGCTAATAGGAACGTCAAATGAGCCTACCACAAGCCTGCTATAGGCCAACTTATTTTATCTAAATATATATGTAACTCAAAGGTGACTGACTTAGTAATCTATCAACGCACAGCCCAAACCACTGGACGGATCGGGCTGAAATTTGGCATGCAGGTAGATGTTATGACGTAGGCATCCGCTAAGAAAAGATTTTGAGTAATTCTACCCCTAAGGGGATAAAATAGGGGATGAAAGTTTGTATGAAACTTTGTCAATTTTAAACCGATCGGACTGAGACTTTGCATGCATAAAGCTACTATGACGGACGTAGGCATTCCCTAAGAAAGGATTTTGATAAATTCCACCCCTAAAGAGATATATTAACGCGAGCAAAGCTGCGGCCAAAAGCTTGTTGTTACTATTTTCCTAATCGGTATAACAAACCAGTTGATGCCCCACATTGTACGTTGTCAGACGGCTGTACTGGACCAACTGGAACGAGTCGCACCCCTGCATCCAGCGCGCGTACACCAGCGGCCAGGGGCTGCAGACCATCGTCTCCACAGACATACTGATGCCCAACGGACTCGCTCTCGACCACGCAGCTAAGAAGATCTACTGGGCCGACGCCAGGCTGGACAAGATCGAGCGCATGAACTACGACGGCTCCCATAGACACGTACGTACACGTACAGTTGTAGAGAGTCCACAATATTACCTAGGCACAGACAAACCGACAGATTTCTGCTTTACTGCTTGCTCCCTGTTAGTTTATAATATACTAGCTGTGCCCGGGACTTTGTCTGTGTAGAATAGTGATCTTGAATAGCATTTTTAATTAATTAGATTAATTATTTTACAAATAATACATGCATGACATCGTTATAGCTTGAAAAATGACGATACTTCATCATTCATCTCCCCTTTCAACCCCTTACGACCCTTTTGTCGGATTATAAAGAGGCAGGGATTTATCGTTATTTTTAAAATTATTCAAATTCAAATTCAAAAATCATTTATTCATGTAGGACATTTTAGCCGCTTATGAACGTCAAATTTTTACATTATAATTTTATTTTTTCCCTACCGTCCAGTTCGGTATATAGATCCAATTTGGCAAGAAACTCAATTGAATTACGAGTTTATTTACAATGTATATTTATATAGGTGTCTGTCTAACATTAAATGAAAATTCAGTGCATGAACAACTATTGCCATGCACACTCGTCGGTTAGGGAGTAATAGGCTATGCTCAGTAAATATGATTTAACAGATGTTTTGAATTTATTTAAGGGTAATTCCAACATATCCTTTGGTATCTTATTGTAAATTTTTATACCTATTCCCATAAAAGACCTATTGACTTTTTCTAAACGATACTTGGGGACAGCAAGTTTGTCTATAAATCTAGTATTAATATTATGAATTTTGCTGTTTTTTTGGAAATAACTCAAGATGTTTATGAACATATAGGATATTTGAATACCTATATAAATTGAGAAGCAACGGTGAGAATATTTGCCTCTTTGAATTTCTCCCTTAATGAATCACGACTCTTCATACAGTAGATCGCTCGATATTAATTGAGTTGTATGGTCTGTATGGAAAATTGAACAACGAAACTTTTTTATTGGGCTCTTATTGGGTTTGATTCTTGAATATTTTTCATTATTTGTCAAGATCACTATGGCATGCAGACGAAGTCGCGGGGCACATTTAGTACATAATATATACAGAAAATACTCAGATATTGTTCTGGGTATTTGTATTGACAAACAATCATACTCATGTATATGAACGTTAGCGTCGTGTAGTAGGTGTGAGTGGTGAGTGGTGAGCGGTGGTCGTGGTCGGCAGGTGGTGGTGCGGGCGCGCGCGGAGCACCCGTTCGGCGTGGCGGTGTGTGGCGGCTGGGTGTACTGGTCGGACTGGGTGTCGCACGCCGTGTACCGCGCCGACAAGCTGGCCGGCGGCGCGCGCGCGCTGCGCAGGGACGTGCCGCGCCCCATGGCACTCGTCGCAGTCGCGCCCCACCAACACCACTGTCAGTGCACACTTTTAATTTAACCTCATACTAAACTTACTTAACCTATGCTCGAAAAAAAACCCTTAACGTATTACCTGTCTCACCTAGTATGATACTACCATACCTCAATTGGTTATTTTTTTGTTGAAAATAAATGAAAACAAATTAACGGATACATTTCAATTAAATAGAATTATATCCGGCTCGAAGGATCGATAAAGGCAATATATGCTGCTGCTGTAAGCTGTGGCCAACTGTCGTAATATAATTGTAGGGACGTGGTGGACTGTGCGCTAGTTAACGAAATAGAAAGGTATCCGTCTCGAAGGACTAATAAAGCCAATATATGCTGATGTTGTCTTTCGTAATAAACTTATACAGGAACGGTAATGAAATATTGTATCCGCCTCGAAGGACCAATGAAGGCCATATATGTTCCTGTATATTAATAATTATATTACGATAGACAGCCCTGTCATAATAGAATTAAACTCGTGCGCGCGAGTTAACGAAATAAAATTGTATCCGGCTCGAGAGACCAATAAAGCCGATGTATGCTATCGCTGACTATCGTAATAAACCTATATAGGCGCGGCGGACCCGTGCGCGGTGGAGAACGGCGGGTGCGCGGAGAAGTGCTCGTCGGAGGCGGGCGGCGCGGCTAAGTGCGCGTGCGGCGGCGGGCGGCGGCTGGCGGCGGACGGGCGCGCATGCGCCGCGCCGTCCGCCGCCTGCGCCGCCGAGGATTTCGCGTGCGCGGAGGGCCCGTGCGTGCCGCAGGAGCTCGTCTGCGACGGCCTGCCGCACTGCTCCGACTCCGCGCACGCCAGCGACGAGGACCTTTACTATTGCAGTCAGTATCATCCTGTATATGTTTATAGAACGTAACTGCATACAGTTACGTTATGATTGATGGATGATTATTTAATGTGAACTTTTTAATAGTATATAGTATGTTGTTTTAATTAGATATTTTTTTTAAGAAATTTAAACTGGTACTATTTTAAACACAGATTACAAAGTAAGCTGTCTAACAGCTAAAATATCACGTAATGTATTGCAGAAGTAATTATATTCTATAATACACTTATGTGGTGGGCTATTGTAATGCATTTAGAAGTACATCGTCATACAAGGCTATATGCCACGTCAGTGTTCGGCCCCTTAGTCTTTGAGTTAGTCCAAGTCACTACTAGGTGGTCTCGTTACTTGATAATGAGTGCGTGCGTCCGCAGCGTCCCGCGAGTGTCCGCCCGGCACGGTGCGGTGCGGCGCGGGCGGGCGCTGCGTGTCGGCGAGCGCGGTGTGCGACGGACGCGCCGACTGCGACGACGCCGCCGACGAGGACGGCTGCGACTGTCCGCCCGCACACTACAGGTATCACACCGCACGGTACCGCACTACATCGCACGATACCGCACTACACCGCATGATAACGCACCGCACTAGAATACATCACACAACACAACAATTACGATGCTAATACCGAATAACATTTATTTCATTACACATCACAACAATTACGATACAACTAATACCAGCATATAAATTATTATATAAAATAAATGCATTAAATTAGAGAAGAAATTATTCTATAAAAAATGACAACAGAAATTTAAATAAAAAACCAATACTAAATAATAATTGCTAAGCTCTGCTACCAAAAATGTTAAGAATAAATGTGGAAACGTGTGAGGGATAAAGTCAGTCGTACCTTTTCGATGCGTCGAGGTTTTCGCTGATCTTCAGCTATTATGTTGGCAAACAAGCTTTCGGCACATCTGATGGTAAACGGTAGTATGTGGGCCACAAAATTTCCAATGTGTCGCGATGAATTACCTATTAATATCGAGCCGAGCCATGGTAAAAAATAGTTGTAGGCATCATGTCAAACAAATAATATACATAAAAGTATACAAATAATCGTACGAGGAATCAAACCCTCAATCAGCACTGAGTTTGGAGAGTTGCATGTGTTCAGGTGTGCGGATGGCACGTGCGTGCCGGTGGCGGCGCGGTGTGACGGCGCGGCGCAGTGTCCGGACGCGTCGGACGAGCGCGGCTGCGCGGCGGACACGTGCGCCGCGCTCGGGCCGGACGCGCGCGCCTGTCCGGCCGGCGCCGGCTGCTACCTGCCCGCTTGGCGCTGCGACGGACACGCCGATTGCCCCGCCGGCGGCGACGAGGACGACTGCCCCCCCGGTACGTACTGCGAGGAGACGACGAGGACGACTGCCCCCCATCCCACCTCGGTACGTAACTGACGAGAATTACTGCCCCGACGGTACGTACCTGTACCGGTACGTAGCTTTTTTCGGACTACTCTAATGCTAGCTGGCCTTTACAAGCTACACCGGACGGGACGGACGACGAGATGGACGATAGAGGGCGATTAGAAGACACTCCAAATGAAAGGCCTAATCCATTCAATAATTTTTGCATGATAAAGTAAAAAACTTCCATCCATCCATCCCAACTCACAAGCTTTCGTGTTTATAAATATCCGATTTTTAATTGAACTTTATTTACCCAAAAACAGTTTCAACAATGAGTGCAGAACAAGAGGAAGAGTTAATCGACTGCCTCCCGGATCAGTTTAAGTGCGGTAGCGTCCCGCGCGAGAGAGTTGCTAGTGGAGAGAGTAGCGAGAGTGGTGGAGATAGTCCAGCAGGATGGGAGTGCGTGCCGATAACATGGCGCTGCGACGGCCGCCCCGACTGTACCGACGGCTCCGATGAGGGCCCGCACTGTGGTAACATGTTCTATATTATACTACTGTAGGTATGCTATGCGAAACTACTAAGTATTTCTGAATATTTGTATTCTAGAATATTCTAGATTAGGATATGTTGGTACAGTAAGAATAGTATGTTCGACATCGTTTTCAACTTGTCACAGTACACGGGTGTATATTAATAAAAATGAAATTTAATGAATATGAAAAAGACGTACCGCAAGGATCATATTTGGGACCCGTGTTGATTTTGTTTTTCTATTAACTATTAGATATGAAACTGACATTTTAGGACTATTAATTTATTAAAAATACCGACGTGTTATCGAGAAATTATATATTTTTTAAGCCTTTTACCTTATTTGTAACGGCATCTAATAGTTTTTATGGGAACTGCAAAATAATTTTTATGTACTTGAATATTCATGAAATTTAGTATATACCTATCACTGATTTCGAACCAGGTCCTATTATTTTTACTTCTGTCACTTTAAATAAATCATTAACGCTGAATGAAGTTACGAGAAGCCAAGCATCAATAAGAGAACTTGTAAACGATTATCGTATACCGACCCTACTGTCTTTCTCTGCAGAGGCGGTAATTCGGGGCAGTAACTGCACGTCGTCGCAGTTTGCGTGCCCGGACGGCTCGTGCGTGCCGGCGGCGGCGCGCTGCGACACCAACCGGGACTGTCCGGACGGCGCGGACGAGGCCGCCTGCAGCTGTCCGCCCGAGAACTTCAAGTGTGCGCACTCCGATACCTGTTTAGAACCGGTACGTTAATACCAGCTATGGATTTTTTCATCATCATCATTTCAGCATGGAAAACGTTCATTGCTGAACAAAGGTCTCCGCGAAAAAACTCCACAACGATTGGTCCTGCGCTGCTATGAACCAACACTTTCCAGGAATCTTGATCATATCGTCGGTCCACCTTATCGGAGGCCTTCAGGTCTTGTTCTGCTGGCTTTTTTTAAAGTACAATCTTGGAATGTTCTTTAAACCCTAGACAATTCACACAAGCTATTATTTAGTCCCTAGATAAGCAGAACTTACGTTATGGGTCCTAAACAACTGATAGAAATATGTAGACATTTTTTTTGTAAATGCATATATAATAACTTGGATAACACCCAGACCTACACAAACATACTTACTCATACTTAGGAATATAAATGTATCATACTTAGGAATATAATGTATGCGAGGAATCGAAGCCGCGACTATCGGATATAAGGCTAAAAAGATCACCGACGTTATCAAACAAGACAACAGCTACCATTACGACTTTTATAAAGGTTTTGTTCTGATTGTGTAATGTGTACGGACCCTGTAATCATAATGCGTCGCAGAACCTGTACTGCGACGGCGACGTGGACTGTGACGACGGGTCGGACGAGCCGGCCGGCTGCGGGCCGCCGGTGGCTGCGGGCCCCACGGGCCCCACGGGCCCCGGGGGCCCCGCCGCGGGCCCGTGCGGGTCGGCGGGCGGCGCGGTGCAGTGCGCGGGCCGCTGCGTGCCGCCCGAGCACGTGTGCGACGGACGCGACCACTGCCTCGACGGCGGCGGCGGCGGCGCCGGCTCCGACGAGGACCCGCACCTCTGCAGTCAGTACAAACGAAACTGACTCTTATTTTTTTCTATTATAAGATATATTTTTGAATTCACATACGTCTAAGTCAGTGCAAATGAAACTAAGTCATATTTATTACCACGTTAAGAGATAATTTTGAATTTACTTTGTGATATAGCAATTCATTTCAGCACGTAGTATAATATAGTGCCAGTGTACGTTGGATAAGTCACTTTATCTAAAATGTATATAAATACTAAGTCATATCCCTACTGTGTGTTTATTACCACTGTCATCACAACATATATTAAGAGATAATTTATTTTTTAAAGATTACCTAAAGTCGTTAAGGAGCTGGCCTTCAGCCGCTCCATTAGTCCTTCCACGCGAGTGCCATCTGCACTCGCCCCCCTATAGTCCGGTGAAGCTGTAAAGGCCAGCTGCGGCCAACAGCAATAGAGTAGTCCCGAAAAAAAATACATATATCTGTCATAATTCTTAACAACAATTGTTAAAAAAATACATTTGATATGTAATCCTACTAATATTATAAATGCGAAAGTAACTCTGTCTATCCGTTTTTCTTTCATGTCAAAACTACTAAACCGATTTAAATGAAATTTGGTACACATATAGTCTAGATCCTGAGAAAGGCTACTTTTTAATAAGAAAATTTAGGGTCTAGTTCTAGGCCTAGGCCTAGGTCAAAGTCACTACAACACGTCGACGAAGTCGCGGGCACATCTAGTAATTTATCTGTACAGGCACGTTCGAGACGTCGTTCGGTCGCGGCGCGCTGGCTGCCACCGGTGAAGTGGCGGATGGTAGCGGACGGTGCGCGCGCGGCGAGTGGCTGTGTCGCAACGGAGCGTGCGTGTCGCGCGACAGACTGTGCGACGGCGGCGACGACTGCGGCGACTACAGCGACGAGTGGCGCTGCAGTATGTCAACACCTTTATGATTTTGTTAAGCGCATTCACACGATGTTAATGAAACGCTGTAGTGTACTTGCCGTTATGTTCCAGTTAAGCGCATTTACACAGTGTTGAGGACACCTATTGTAGTACATATTGGCGCTGTAGTATATCATCGCCTTTATGTTTTTGTTAAGCGCATTCACACGCTGTTGGTGAAATACAGTATAGTACAAAAAAATTGACGTGGTTTTTGTCATTGCCATTATGTTCCAGATTAAGCGCATTCATAGCCATGTTCTTGGTGAAATACATGGTATAGTACAAAAAAATTGTCATTATTTTGTTTAATTCCGTATTATATAAAATGTAAGTTCCCAACCCATTCTATGAGTCTCCATCACGAATTATCCAGATATAAGAAATAGAAGGAGTGTATGTCGGTGTGTTCGCAGACATCAACGAGTGCTTGATCCGCAACGGCGAGTGCGCGCATAACTGCACGGAGCTGGCGGTGGGCGCGGCGTGCTGGTGCCGGCGCGGCTGGCGGCGCGCGGGGCCGGGGGCGGGGGCGGGGGCCTGCACCGACGTGGACGAGTGCGCCGAGGACCAGCCCTGCGACCACCACTGCAGGTACTGCGCCTCCTCCTACACACAACTGCACAGAGCTAGCGGCAGGCGTTCATAACAATTATTTAAAAGAAGAACACGCAAGTTTCTTTCTTTCTTGTGATGCGACAGTTTTCCGCTTATCGCTAGCAGAAGGTTCGTATTCTAGCTACATACAATATTTTTTAACTTCTTAGCTTTAACAGATATCCGGCTCGAAGGACCAAAATTTCAAAATTTAAGCGTATTTAATATTAAAGAGATTTTTTTTACAATTATATCTATCTGTGTTATTGTGTACATATGTACAGAAAATAAACATGGTGCTTATGACCTGCAGGAACACAATTGGAAGCTTCGTGTGCTCATGCGCTGCCGGCTACCGCCTTATGGACGATGAGGTCAGCTGCGCACCCATCTCATGTACGTATTGTTTTCTGTAACATTAACCTAAGTAATACGGATGGCAACGACATAATGTCTTCTATGGTAAAATAAATGACTCACCAATTATCGCACAGCGGTGCCAGCATCGGTGATCTTCACGAACCGGTACTACATTCGACGCACGTGGGTGAGCGAGAAGGAGCACGCGGGTGCGAGTGAGACGGCACCTACCGCTCTGCTGGTTCGCAACTTGACCAATGCAGTGGCGCTGGACATGCACTGGGCGAGCGGCTGTCTCTACTGGAGTGACGTCACACTCATGGGTAGTGCCATCCGCCGCTGGTGCGGTCTCAACCGACAGCCGACTGTTGATGCGGCTGATCCGGTCGCAGAGGCTGCCTCCGACGGGTACCAGGTTGGTTCTAGTAGTACTTTCAAGTTCAATCTGTTTAATATAGACTACAATGCTACAATCTAAATATATATAACTCAAAGGTGACTGACATAGTAATATATCAACGCACAGCCCAAACCACTGAACGGATCGGGCTGAAATTTGGCATGCAGGTAGATGTTATGACGTAGGCATCCGCTAAGAAAGGATTTTGATTAATTCTATCCCCAAGGGGATAAAATAGGGGATGAAAGTTTGTATGAAACTTTGTCAATTTTAAACCGATCGGGCCGAGACTTTGCATGCATAAAGCTACTATGACGTAGGCATCCCCTAAGAAAGGATTTTGATAAATTCCATCCCTAAAGGGATAAATTAACGCGAGCGAAGCCGCGGGCAAAAGCTAGTTGATTGATTAATTTATTATTCGATTCGAATCGATTCGATCGAAAATCAAATGTAAACTATTTTAATATCATATTAGCGTAATTGCCTGAGTGCGTAGATGGCGTAGGCGCCATTTCGTTGATAGGACGAACTATTTCGCCTTACTCAATAACGATAGCAAAATTTAAGAACCAGTGTTTTATTAGAGGATTCTTCGTTACTATTACTACTAACTACTTCGGTTGCCACTATACTGTACATTGAAACGTGTGCGATGTCAGCTGCTGCACGGCGGCACGCTGCAGAACCCTGACGGGCTGGCGGTGGACTGGGTGGGCGGCAACGTGTACTGGTGCGACAAGGGCACCGACACGCTCGAGGTATCCCGCCTCGACGGCCGCCACCGCCGCGTGCTGCTGCGCGGGGGGCTCGCGGAGCCGCGCGGGCTCGCGCTGCATCCGCACCACGGGTAATAACTGGCTCAGTACCTACCTTTACACGGATGCTCTTTCAAGCAACGGACGGTGTAATAACTGCCTTTATACGGACGCTCTTTCATGCACCACACGGGCTGCCTTTACATAGACGCTCTTACATGTACTACACGACCTAATTACTGCATTTTCACGGGCGCTTTACACGGACACTCTTATATATACCACACGGCCTAATACCTGCCTTTACACGGACACTCTCACATGTACCACACGGACTTATAACTACCTTTACACGGACCCTCTTTCACGCACCACACGGGCTAATAACTACCTTTACACGGATAGTCTTTCACGTACCACATGGGCTAAAAACTGCCATTACACAGACGCTTTTTCATGCACCATTAGACCTAATAATTGTCTTTATACGGATGCTCTTTCACGCGCGCATCGCCTTTTACGCAGCAAAGAGTGTGCATTTTTTTTATATACTACATAGGCGGTTTGCCACCTATGTAGTATATAAAAAAATGCGTACAACCCATGTGAAGGTAAACGAAACCATCAAATTAGAGGGAGCATATTTTTGGTAGTTATCCCTCCCTACCTTGCGATCACGAGTAACGAGTGCGTGCGTCCGCAGCACGCTGTACTGGTCGGACTGGGGCGCGGAGCCGCACATCGGGCGCGCGGGCATGGACGGCAGCGCGCGCCGCGTGGTGGTCCGCCGCGGGCTGCGCTGGCCCAACGCGCTCACCGTGTGCCACGCCAGCCAGGAGCTCTACTTCGGGGACGCGCACGAGGACTACGTCGCCGTCGCCGACCTCGACGGCGGCAACGTCAGGATACTCTTCTCCAGGGGTGAGTACGACCTATATTAATGTGGGAAAACAGTGATATGAGTGAATGAGTGAGCGAGGTATACAGTGTAGTGTGAGAGAGATAGCACACAGCAGCAACGTGCGCATACTATTCTCAAGGGGTGACTACGCGCCATATGTCATTGTGAGAATACAGTGATTGTATCAATCCATTGTATGGAGTGCGAAAGAGATAATACACAGCAACAACTTGCGCATCCAGGGTTGAATATATGCTCATATGTTTATTGTTAATGTGGGTATACAGTGATAGAATGATGCTTCAAAGAGAACGTAAAATGAAGGAATGAGATATACAGTGAAAGAGTGAGAGATATGCACATCCTATTTTCTATATGTGTATTGTTAATGTATAGAATGTCTGAAGTGGATGGAACTGATTCAGATCCGGCTCGAAGGACCAATGTTTGGATTGTACCTAATAAGTCTAATGTATTTCTCCATTTCTATTTTTTTATTAATTACAAATGGAATATTTATTCAGATGTCTAAGTATTTCTATCAGTTGTCTAATAAAATATCCATAACACAAGCTCGGTTTAGTTCAGAACTAGACGGCGCTGTGTTAATTATCCTGGGCTATTATTCTTGTATTGTAGTATACATCAGTACATTGGTAAAAGTATACGTCATGTCATACTCGTAGACCGGATGCCGTGGCTGCGACTGCACCACGTGTTCGCGCTGGCGGTGTGGGAGGGCCGCGTGTACTGGAGCGACTGGGAGACGCGCACCATCGAGTCGTGCCGCCGCCGCCCCCTGCAGGGGCTGCGGGGGGGCGGCGGGGGGGACGCGGGCGCCGCGCACGACTGCCGCACGCTCACGCACACCGTGCACAAGCCCATGGACCTGCGCGTGCTGCACCCCGCGCGGCAGCCGCCCATACCAGGTACGGAGGGGGCGAGGGAGCCTGCAGGGGGTGAGGGGGCCACGGGCGAGGCGTACGATTGCTACACGCTCACGCATACCGTACACAAGCTCATGGACCTGCGACCTTTTTGCGAAAGAACGATTAAACAAATCGGCAAACAGCTGCTAACAATATTTGAAAATTTGACATTCACACCTGTCAATTTAGTCTCCGAGATTAAATAATAGACTATAGTGTCACATCTTTACATGAAATATATCAGTGTTGCCTAATATACTATTCCCCATTCTCCAGAGTTGTCAGATCAGTGTGCTGCTTTGAATTGCACGGGCCTGTGCCTGCTGTCTCCGGCGCCGGAGACGGACGGTGATGAAGAGGCGACGGTGCGGGCGACAGCGGCGTGCGCATGCCCAGAACACTTCGTGCTGCAGCCGGATGGCCGCACGTGCACGCCCAACTGCACCTCCGCGCACTTCGTGTGCGCTACCACCCTCAAATGCATTCCCTTCTGGTGGCGCTGTGATACACAGGTACATACCACTTATTGGGGGCTAGATGCTCGCCTTGAGGGAGGCAAAGCCCCAAAGAAAATGGAGCTGAGGTGCATATCTTGAGAGATGCAATGTCACAAATAAATGGGGCCTTGGTACTCGCCTCGAGGAAAGTTGCGTCCCAAAGAAATGGGGCCTAGGTGCTCGCCTAGAGGGAGGCATAAGCATATAACATAATAATACATTTGAATATATGATTGCGCCTAGAAACATTCATTCGGCAATATTTCACATTTCATATTACTTTTTATTTATTCACAAAAGCGCGTATGAATTACGATTATATTTATTATTTCTCCCCGTCAGTCAACCATAGATGGTGTCGAGAATAATTGACTGTTCTGTTGAACTGTCCTATGTTCAATGATGATCTTATACTTTACAATTGCATAACTGGAATGCATATTGGCTCGGTGTCGCAGGACGACTGCGGCGACGGGTCCGACGAGCCGGCGTCGTGTCCGCCGTTCCGGTGCTCGCCCGGACAGTTCCAGTGCAGCAACGGACGCTGCGCGCACCCCGCCGCCATCTGCGACGGCGTGCACCACTGCGGCGACGGCAGCGACGAGACCGACTGCGACACGGTACGCCCCGGCCGAGACCCCGACCGAGACCCCGGCCAAGACCCCGGCCGAGACCCCGGCCGACTCTAACGGGGATCGAAATTACGAGCTCCGAAGGTTGTTGCCCCAGAGATAGAGCCCTCATAAGAGGGTTCAGATGACCAGATTCATTCTATAACGCATCCATTACCTTATCAGCCATTAAAAAATAGGAATAACTTTTATTTCGGAAACTTAAATAAGGTATAGTTTGTCTATGACTCCAAATTAGGCTATGCCTGTGTCATGGAAGTCTGAACAAGTGTACGTAGTAAAATATGATGACTTGGACATAGTGGCTATATGTATATTTGAGTATGTTATACCCTTTAATATTAATTGTGAAGACAATAATTTGAAGAATATATAATATGACAATACTACCAAAGATAAAGTTGTATGGGCTGAGTCCTTTTGCCTTTCCCCGAGTTAAAAAACCAGAAAAAATTTGTCTATATATTCTTTTGTGTGTGGTTACAGTTCACGTGCCTATCGTCGCAATGGAAGTGTAACGGCAACTCGACTGCAGGCGTGAGTGCGCGCTGCGTGCCGGCTAATGCGCGGTGCGACGGCCGCGTCGACTGCCACGACGGCGGTGATGAACTTAATTGCCCGCCGGTTACCTGCCCCCCGCACCACGTACGTATACATCCCCGCCCTCCTCTATACGTATAGACGGTCCGCCCTCGTTCAAACACTGCTCTACGCACCACGTTACATAAACACGTTCGGCCTTTGTACTATGTACGTACTATATACCTCGCTTCCCGTCAAACGTACGCACAGTCGTTCAGCCCTACGCACCACGTTTCGTAATCCTGTCCTACCCTCCGCTCTATGAACGTACATACACCTCTGTATGCCTACCTCCCTACTCCCCTCTCCCCGCTATAGATACGTACAGACGTTCCACCTTACACACCACGTACGAACTGATGCTTCGCCTTATGCACCATGCACGTACTCTCGTCCCGTCCTTCGCTTATCCTTCCTTCGTCCTTTGTAAATATGTGTGCTCAGTTTTGCGTGCGTGCTGCTGGTGTGTGATAACAGTTTGAACGAGGGCACTTCGTGATACACATTTTACTCAATGTCACTAGTCTACCGTAATGTTTCCAACTATAACGTTGCGTGTATACGCAGTTCGCATGCGTGTCCCAAGTGTGGGTGTGCGACGAGGACGCTTCGTGATGCTTGGTTTTACTCAATATCTAGTGATATTGAGTAAAACTAGAGAATACAGACAGAAACAATACGGTAGTGTAGTGTCTACCGTATTGTTTGACTATATTGTTGCGTGTATGTACGCAGTTCACATGCGTGCCCCAAGTGTGGGTGTGCGACGAGGACGCTTCGTGATGCTTGGTTTTACTCAATATCTAGTGATATTGAGTAAAACTAGAGTACAGACAGAAACAATACGGTAGTGTAGTGTCTACCGTAATGTTTCCAACTATAACGTTGCGTGTATGTACGCAGTTCACATGCGTGCCCCAAGTGTGGGTGTGCGACGAGGACGCTTCGTGATGCTTGGTTTTACTCAATATCTAGTGATATTGAGTAAAACTAGAGAATACAGACAGAAACAACACGGTAGAGTAGTGTCTACCGTATTGTTTGACTATATTGTTGCGTGTGCGTGTACGCAGTTCGCGTGCGCGAACGGCGCGTGCGTGCCGCAAGTGTGGGTGTGCGACGAGGACGCGGACTGCGGCGACGGGTCGGACGAGGGCGCGCTGTGCGCGGCGCGGACGTGCGCGCGCGGCGAGTTCCGGTGCGCGTCCGGGCGCTGCCTGCCGCGCGAGTGGCGCTGCGACGCGGAGCCGGACTGCCCGGGCCGCGAGGACGAGGCCGGGTGCGGCGCGGCCTGGCCGCCGGCCTGCGAGCCGACCTACTTCCGCTGCCCGGACGGGCGCTGCGTGCCGGGCCGCTGGCGCTGCGACTACGAGGACGACTGCGGCGACGGCGCCGACGAGCTGCACTGCGCGCCGCGGAACTGCTCCGAGACCGAGTTCCGGTACGTGTTTGCTAAAATCGACCTTATTGTGATTGGGATATGAGTAATTTTTGATTAATTTAAATAATATTGTGATATCTTTGAATTAGTAAGATCGCTTATAATACTTACATTTTGTTCAAATATGTAATATCTGTTTACTCTAACGTCATGCTCTATTTATATCATTATTTTAATTATACACACAGATGGCGCTGTGTGACAGACAATTCACACAGCGCCATCTAGTTCCAAGCTAAGTAGAGCAGAGAGCTTGTGTAATGAGTACTAGACAAGTGATATGAATACGTGGATACATTTTTAATATTAGACATAGACAAGACATATATAATATTCGTAGAAAATAGCCAACATTTGCACTGTATAAGGATTCAAACCCGCGACCATTGGTAAAACAAGGTGCTAATCCACTAGATCACCGAAGCCGTCAATTTCCATATTTAGTACAAAACTAAGTAACCTGTACGTATAATATCGATGTTGTATTAAATCACGGCTTTTGAACGACAGGTGCAACAACGGCGTGTGTATCAGCGGGTCGCTGCGGTGCTCGGGCGTGGCGGAGTGTCCCGACGGCGCGGACGAGGTCGGGTGCGGCGCCGCCTGCGGCCCGCTTGCACGACGGTGCGCGCGCGCAGACCAGTGCGTGCTCAGGTAAGTGCCGGAACAATCCCACTCGAACGGTGAATTGGTCTTTCGAGCCAGATTTCCTAGTAGTTATGTCTTCCAGTTGATGCAGTGCTGTTATTGTATTATGAAGTTTTTCTAAAGGGTTGTGTGCTTAACCGCCGCGTCGTTCGAACGATGGATTGGTCCTTCGAGCCGGATTTCTCAGTTGTTATATCTTACGTTTGATGTAGCGCTGTTACAATAACATATGAAGTTTTTCTAATGGGTTGCGTGCTCAGGTAACTACTGCGCCGCTTGAATGATGGATTGGTCCTTCGAGCCGGATTTTCCAGTTATATCTTACATTTAATGTAGTATTGTAAGTTGGTTTGCCTTAATAGTATGCATGTCTTTAATGGGTGACAGTGGAATGGTGCCCTGACATTAGCCTGTGCAGACGATATACATCAGCGAGGTTCTAGTGAAAGATAATTATTATGAAGAAGTCAGATCAGCCTATATTGAAGAAGATAATTCTTCACGATGGTTCCTAGTGGGTCTACTTGAAGATCGACCTGACTTCGTACGATTTACCATTAGATACATACAGCCTGTATGCTTGTTTGCCACCATCGTTGTACAAATGAAAATAGTCATATTCGTACCGTACCCTATTGACATCTGAAACATCAGGACTATTACTTGCTCGTTGTCGACCAAACAAAAATGTACACAGTCAGTAGTCCCGGTTACCGACGACCCCTTACAATAAACTGGCAGTTAAAAAGAAATAATAATTAATTCAATCAAGTTTTTTACCAGTTCTTCTCAATTAGATCTATATACAGAATTGGACGGAAAAAAATTATAATATAAAAAAAATTACGTTCATAAGCGGCTAAAATGTCCTACACGAATAAATGATTTTTGAACTTCCGTGTTTAATATACATTATTTAAATTATTAACCGGATCTTAACACGAATTGAAACATCGAGAGTACCTTTATTTGCCATAAAATTATTTCGTGTTAAGACCCGATTAATAATTGAAATAAATTATATTTGAATTTGTATAAGTAAGCGAGCGGTGTGTTGCAGCGAGTGGTGGTGCGACGGCGAGACGGACTGCGGCGACGGGTCGGACGAGGAATCGTGCGCGACGGAGCGTCCGGCAACGTCGCCGGACGCGACGTGCGGCGCACGTATTCGCTGCGGCCGGTCCGGCTGCGCGCCGGCCGCATGGCGCTGCGACGGCCGGCCGGACTGTCCGGACGCGGCGGACGAGCGGCCGGACGCGTGCGTCGCGCATGCCTGTCCGCCGCCCATGTTCCGGTGTGGAGCCGGACGCTGTTTGCCGCCCGCGCTCGTTTGCGACGGATACGCCGACTGTCCGCAGGACGACCGCAGCGACGAGGATCCAGAACTATGTAAGAAGATAGATAGAACATACTTTTGAGACATAGATAAAATATGCTTTTATTTGTGATGCAGTAAAGTACACATAAAAAAACATATTGAAGAACACATGGTTTCCTTTTACATTTTTTATTTAGGCTTTTTTTTTGACAATTCACACAGCGCCATCTAGACCCAAGTTAAGCTAGCTAAAGGTTAATAAAACTACTTGATTTATGATATACCGTATGTAGATTTCATGAAATTGCCTAACAGAGATAACTAATATATAAATAATATGATCAAATATGTAATTATACGTAAAGTCGAAGTGATACTTATTAGTTTGTTCTGTTACAGGTATGCGACGCGCGCAGCTGGAGAAGTCGGACGCCGGACAGGACGCCGGGCTGGCTGCGTGTCCGGCGCCGGACGTGCGCTGCGCGGACGGACGCTGCCTGCCCGCACACGCCTGCACCGCCGGTAACCGTAAACTGCCATGTCGCATTCAGACGCTGTCATGTAGCACTCACACATTGTCATGTGGCACGCACATACTGTCATGTGGCACTCACATACTGTCATGTGGCACTCACACGCTGTCATGTGGCACTTACATGCTGTCATGTGGTACTTACAGGCTGTCATATGTGCACTGACGTTTTATGTTCATCATGCTGTTTATGTGTGTTTATTACGTGAGAATATTTTCTCGTTGCATACTTTTTAAAACGTAATTAATAATTTACGTCTATCTAGTAACAATTTTACACAAATACATATATTTGTGTACTATTCTCTTAAATTACATAATACACAAACATGATTATGTTATATATGTACTTAATACGTGTATGTATGTATCAACAGAGGAGGGTCCGTGCACGTGGCGCTCGTGTTCCCAGCTATGCCTACCCAAGCACAACAATTTTACATGCAAGTGAGTATACCAACTTACGAATACTAGTGTACTATATACCAAAATAATACACTAGTGCATATAAGGTTTAATGGTAGATCTCAATACAGGTACAAAAAATGGTTATTATTGCTTTAAATTGGACGGGGGATCGATCGGAGCGGCGACCGGGGGCGTCGATGTGCAGCGCCCATATGCGCGCAGGCGCTTGGTTAATTGCGCGGTGTGGGTGTAGTTGAGGTCGTCGTCTTCGCCGGCGAGGACGGTGTCGTGCTTGTATGTGAAAGTGTGGTCGGGACTCAACGGGCGAAACTACGGGATGTTAACTGCCGTTATGGGGTCGTCGGGATCAAAAATTGTTATAATATAAAATACATACGATGTTTCTACAAAACGAAACATTAGCGCGTTGTAACTTTGTTACAGCGCCATCTATTGACGTTGCATGCAAACAATAATACTTTATTGATAATTAATCTAATTTTAATTTAAATTCTAACATTAACTGTAATGTCATACAAATCGATAAGCTCTAATATTTTTTATGTAAATATAATGACTGACAGCCCATCTAGGGATAAATGCAATCGCCAATATGTATATCTAACTCCTCCACGCAACTTCACCTGCATCACATTATCCCCGGTCTTGCAACATATTTCATTACTGCTATGCTCCTATTTGGTCATAGTGTGATGTTATATAGCCTGTACCCTTCCCCGATAAATAAACTATCCAACAGTAAAAGCATTTCTAAAATCGGATCAGTAGACTACAGCTATAAGTGAGACAGAGGTACCTGTATTACTCACTGTTTATATTATTTTTAAAACCTAATATTCATTTCACACTAATATTTTATACATGCTATATATAATGGCCTATGCGTCTATTGTAGACGATTTATGGCGTAATGGCCCGTGAACAGCTCTTTTCGTGGCGTATAAACCGATACGAGAACTGCATGGCCTACCACAGGCCCGACAAGGAAAACTATTGGCAGTAGTCTGTACTGAGCCGCCTAAGTGGCGCTTCCGTCTCTTCTCTTCTCGCGCTACATACATTACATACATGCTACAACATAGTAATTTTATTAAATTTATTAAATTATAACTATGGAACCTAATACAGTTAGTTATATAACTATGTACGGATATTTAAGAATATTACTATGTTTTACCCCGTATGTACCACGTACAATGGGTCTCGTATAATTTGCACTATGATATTCAAGATTATGACGACAAACTGTAATAGATATATGGAACAAGATTTGAGCCTAGCGGTACTCCAACTATTTCCTATATGTGTTTTACGTCATCAATATATACATATTTTTTCTTTTACATATCTTTCCAAAGAGACTCTTATGAGTCTCTTTCGTTAATGCGTGCTTTTTATATAGCTAATTTGTATATTCGTTTAGATGTGTCCCCGGCTACAAGCAGCGGCAGCTACCGGACGGAAGCTTCGCGTGTGAGGCGCAAGGTATGTGTTTATCCCATCAAAAACATAAATGTGAAATGATAGCCGAGTTCAATATTATGATATATGCCTTGATTGTTGACTTCTACGACAAAAGAGATGAGATCTAAATGGGTGCCAAGTTCAATAGTCTGTCCTGAAATGTATTTATAACAATATAAAAATCATTTCTTATAACTTAGGATAATGTATTGTAGCCTAAGGTCTGACTTGGCTAGTTCTCATATACCAATTATTACTTTCGATGGCTAGTTACTACTAATAATAAAATAGGAACCGAAAAGTAACAGGTTTAGAACTTGCGAAGGCTACAGTATATTTCGTATATATACGTCTATATGTCAAGATATATATGTCTCTTTCTTTCAAAGCGCGATGGCGGCTCTCTCTGTGCGTCGCGTGGCTGCCGTAGTCCTTTCTCCGTCGCTACCAGTCTTTCTCTTTCTCTCACAACGCGATGTATCGTCTACCCCCTCCATAAAGCTTTTTCGTGACAGAAAAATCCTAATACACCCCATCCATATAGAAGTTTTATATTAATACATGTGAGTGTGTCCGCAGGCGCGCGGCTGGTGGTAGCGAGCGGCGGCGCGCTGCTGCACTGGGAGTTACACCGACAACAACCACATCCGCATCCGCAGACACATCCGCAGACACATCCGCACCCGCAGCAGCGGGCCCGCCGCCTGGCGCCGCCCGCACTACCGCCCTCCGCGTACACGTGAGTGCCCCTCCTTATAAGTCGCCAGCTTTATTCATGAACAGCTTCACGGATGTCACATGCGTTGCCATTAGAGAGGATCAAGATGTCATGCCTGAAATTCCGTAATTTTCTGCCTAATTTTATCCTACAACAGAAATATAAGCATCTACTTCCATGCAACTGAAATAGGTGAGAAGTATCCACGCTGAGCACTTTGCACAAACTAGAATAAATTATATATATATATATAAAAAAACTAAGATATGTATCTAAAATTGAAGACATGTTAAAATACAAATCGATGATCAGTAAAATTACAGTTTTGTACGTAATTTCATGAAACGCGTTTTTTAAGTTGTACGTGCGTTAGTTCATTTAAAAACCATGAAAACCAAAACAAACTGTTTTACAGTGTATTCTTAAATATATTTTGATGAGACGGTAAGAATACGCTTGAGTAGTGTTTACTGCGTACGTTGTACGTGCGTACTCGTGCGGTAGCATGCGTTTAACTGCGGATGTATGCGGTTAACTGCGGATGCGTGCGTGCAGGCTGGCGGAAGGCGGCGGCGAGGTGGTGAGCGCGTGCGGCGCGCAGGTGGACGGCGCGTGGCGGCTGTGGTGGGCCGCGGCCGACGGCGGCCTGCGACACGCGCGCCTCCCCCCCGCGCCCCAGCCCGGCCCCGCCCCCGCGGCACCGCCCGCGCCCGCTGACGCCGAACTTATAGTGAGTACACCCAGTCTATACTTTATATCTTCCAATTTTGTTAGAATAAGACGGTTATTAACTCTGATCAGCGCGACGGTGGACCGGTAGAGAGTGTCATTAGTATTAAATTCGCAATGTATACAATTTGAGGTGCAAAATAATAAATAAATAAATAATAACTGCCTTAACTAGCGACTAGGAGCGCCAATTAACGTGGGAAATCCAGCGCCCGCAATCTTGAGGGATTGCATTTTACTATTTTTTGTGATAACTCATTGGCGCGTGATAGCGCGTATTAGTCAAGTAATTTCACTTTCTTTCAAATTGGCAATTGTTTTTATACAATGAATGAATTATCGCCAAAATTTAGGCGTTATAGTTATAATAATTCAGTAATAAACTAATAATATCGATTGACACCTAACGAAAATTTGTGTTATGTACCTATCTATATTTGACATATAATGTAATTTTTAATTGTAAATTCATTAATTCTATATATAATTTATATATTCCAAATTATAACTTTTAAATTGCAGAAGAAATCTGCGGTATTTTATTCACTTGCCTGAGTGAGGTTCCAATGACCTCAAAATATTGAAGAAGACTGTACTCATGGAAATAGGAAAGAGAAAGCGGGACTCATCGGGCTAATTATATGATAACTTAAAATGTGTTTGATTACTAATTATAAATTAATATTTGTACTAATTGTAACACGGACGTGTGCAGATGAGTGCGGGCACGGGCGGGTCAGCACGAGCAGTTGCGGTGGACGGTCCCACCCGCCGCCTCTACTGGACGGCCACGCTGCAGCCGCGCGGCGGCGCGGTCTACGTCGCCGCACTCGACGCCAGGCGCCGCGTCACGCTCTACACGCACGACGACGCGGAGCCGGACGACATCGTACTGCATCTTGACAACGGGTGACTATAGAATACGCACTCTCACATACCTATGCACATCTCTTACACTTGCTCAAGCTCTAGACGTGCGTGCTCGCACGAGAACGCACGGGTTCGTGCGATTCGTAACGCAATATGTACTGACCAGCACGGTGTACTGGTCGGACCGCGGGGGTTCCCCGGGCGTGCTGGCCATGCGTGCGGACGGCGCGGGAGGCGCGCGGCGCCTGGTGCAGTGGCGAGTGCGGCGGCCGACCGCGCTGGCGCTGTACGCCCCCGCCGCCCGGCTGTACTTCGTGGACGCGTACTACGACACGCTGGAGTCGGTGCGGCTCGACGGCAGCGGCCGCGTGCTCGTCGCCGTGTTCGTACACGCTGCGGCGCGTGTGCCGCACTCGCCCGTAGCCGCTAACGGTACTAATGGTGAGAATTTTTTCAATATCTAATAATATTTTTTTTATTAATTTTATATTAATTATGTATTCAATATGCAGGCTACTTTTGGTTAATTATTATTATACAAGGTCACTCTATTCTCCCAAATGAATTTAAAAATTAATCTATATTATTGTAAACATGTACAACATTTATTTTAAAAAAATACGAGCTGAGTTTCTTATCAGTTCTTCTCATCTCGAAATCATTCCGAACTGACGATAGATTTGACATATCGTAAGAGTCTGTAATAGACCTACATGAATAAAGATATTTTGATTTTGAATTTAACATATAACAACATCAATTACACTACAATACATACATAAATTCCTTGTTGTGGCAGACACTCAGTGTATGCCGGAGCAGCTCATTGTAGCGGCGCTAGTATTCTGTGTCAGGCGTTAGTGATGTGCCTACACTTGTAATATATATATATATATTTTTTTTATTCATTTATTTATTAATATATTTCTGTTAACATTCGAGAACTTTTCATTAGTACCTTTCCAGATAACATAGATTTAAGTTAAGCGTAAAACTAGTCTACGGTCCCGACTCCGGTTACTAATAAGCCATGTAGCACACTATCTAATAAACTTACTAATGTACAATAAATATCACCCGTATACTCACTACCTATATCATATGCGCTGTAGCATGGTGCGGGCAGTGTCGTTTCACTCTTGAAAGTTGTCACGATTTATAAATTATGACTTAGTATTTCAACTGTACCATAATCGTAATATATTAAATCGGTAATAACTGCAGTAACTTAAATTTAGCAATTGTTAGATGTTTTTTGTTTGTACCTAAGCACATATTTACTGCAACATTTAATTTTACCACCTTGTCCTCTGGTTCAAACTGTCTAAACTGTGTCACCCCACCTTACATTTTCCTATTGTTATTTAGTAAAAACAAAAACAGCAATATTCATAATATTAATACTAGATTTAAAGACAAACTTGCTGTCCCCAAGTATCGTTTAGAAAAAGTTAATAGGTCTTTTATGGGAATATATAAAAGCCCTATTAACTTAATAAAAATTTACAATAAGATACCAAAGGATATGTCTTTTTGGAATTACCCTTAAATAAATTCAAAACATTTGTTAAATCATATTTACTGAGCAAAGCCTATTACTCACTAAACGATTACTTGAATGACGAGTGTTCATGGCAATAGTTGTTCATGCACTGAATTTTCATTTAATATTAGACATAGACACCTATATAAATATACATTGTAAATAAACTGGCTTTAAAAAAAAAGTAATTCAATTGAGTTTCTTGCCAGTTCTTCTCAATTGGATCTATATACCGAACTGGACGGTAGGGAAAAAAAATAAAATTAGAATGTAAAAATTTGACGTTCATAAGCGGCTAAAATGTCCTACATGAATAAATGATTTTTGAATTTGAATTTGAGTATATAAGATCATTATTTCTATGTACATATTGTCAGTTTATTACCATCTGTAATATACATCGTCTCGACCAACAACATAGTATCATTCACCCGCAACATGGTCCGTTAGAGAGCGCCACGACGATGCACGTGGCGGGGTATAACTCATCCCGCGCGGTGGCATGGCGCGGCCCCGCGTGCGCGCGCATGGCCGCGTGGGAGGAGTGGGTGTGGTGCGGGTCCGCGCACGGGCTCGCCCGCCTGCCGCGACGACTGCAGCGCGCGCCGCCGCCGCCCGCCGCCGCACGCACCGCCTTCACCGCGCTCGCGCTGCTGCTACCCGCGCGCGCGCATGGTCAGTGCACACCTTTATTTTTTTATTTATGACTCTTTATTTTTTTATTGTAGATGATAATGGAATGGTGCACCCGCCTGCGCTAACGGTTTACGCTGGCGGGGCACCAGTGGAGGATGATAAGATGAACATGAGGTCAGATCAGTTAGCCCATCGTGACATATTCACCCGGAAGTTATCACGATGGTTTCCAGGGGGAACCGCGTGGAGGTCAAGCTGACATGGTACATTGCTAGTAATGGGGTCATGAGTCCACATTACTAACAATCCCGTCCCCCCTATAACTCTTTATTGCACATTAAAAAACATATTCATAGTATCTAGGTACAAAAGACGGTCTTATCGCTTAAGAGATTTCTTCCAGACAACCTTTGGGTAAAGGAGAAAATACAAGGTTTTATTTATTTATTAAAGCTTTTGTTCATGCATTTACAATTTAAGAGCCACGCTCTTGTCGATGGAGCCCTTGTCACTTTCCAGGATCTTCCAACATGCTCTTTAACTGTTGATACGACACGACTCCAATTGTAGCTTTAATTTGATTTTGTGACTATGGGTTTGTTGGTCTTCTCTTCCCCCTCTTTTCTTCTATTTATCTCTCAGTAATATTTTTTCTGCCAGATCCCAATCCATGCGAGTTGTCGGAGGGCAAATCAGCGTGCGACTCGAGTGCGCTGTGCGTCCGCGCGGGCGGTGCGGGGAGCGCGGGGGGCGCGGCCGGGGGACTCCCCTACTCGTGCCTGTGCCCCGACGGACTCACGCCCACGCACGACACTGCTGATGTTAGTATACAGAGAGAGACTCTATAAACGATCTGTTGTAATTGGCTAATCAGATATGTATTTTATATTCTAAATTTGTATTTGAATTTATAGTTCTTTTATATTACATTCTTGTTTTTGATACTTCAATTCCTTCTTTCTATTCCTAATTGTCAGTAGTCTATATTAATATATTTTCACCGTTTACTTAGTCTTTTTTCTTATTACTATAACACGATCAGTTTCAATTTTGCGATTACATCTTTCGGTGGTATCTACTGGCTGGTACCGCGACGGTCAGTTCGAAATTTAATAAAAAAAATAGCAAATAGTAAAGGTAATGGAACTTAGGTCTCTGCTCAATAAAAATCAGCTGATTTTGACAAGCTGAAGAGGAAACGCCACTACATACGAGGTTGTAGCCCACTCTTATTTAAACGAAACATCTTTGGAAACTATATACTCTATCCTGAAGATAAAAATCATCGCTACTAAGAATACTCGATCTTTGTTCCTAACGGATGTAGGTAGCGTTCGAAAAAAGGCGCACACGATAGATCTATACATGTCGCAGTGCAGTGACAATAGTCGAAAATTTTCGACTAGGTCAGGTGGCAACACACATAGTATTCAGATCAACTATGATCGACCATTAATCTCTAATATCTATTAATCTAATTAAATTATAATTTAAAAATTTATTTATATTGGTAGTAGTTTGAATAATTTTTTGGTTTTAAATAATTTACACACCTTGAATGGTAAATATTACACCTTGAATGGTAAATATATTAATTGTTGTGTAAGATCTGCCCTATGCAATTACCAGTATTTTGAATTATTTTACCTAATATATCTTAAAATGATTTAAAACCTTTTTTGAGCGAAAGACGTCACTTTGTTACCTGGTAATCCTATCTTAAAATGATTTAAAACCTTTTTTGAGCGGAAGACGTCACTTTGCTACTTGGTAATCCTATCTTAAAATGATTTAAAACCTTTTTTGAGCGGAAGACGTCACTTTGCTACTTGGTAATCCTATCTTAAAATGATTTAAAACCTTTTTTGAGCGGAAGACGGCACTTTGCTACTTGGTGATCCTTAATTATAAAAAGGTAATGGAATATAATAATAAATAACCCTGGATCACTGACACATCGCCATCTAGCACCGCTTGCGAGGAATAGACAATTGCATCGGAATTTTTTTTGTAAACATGCTTAACATAGAAAACTTAGACCGATACAAATAATTATATCGACTGATTTGCTAGTCTAGCACTAGCGAATCAGTCGATATAATCTGACGACCTCGGTGGTCTAGTGGTCTAGCACACCGCTTTACGTCCGACGGTCGCGGGTTCGATTCCTCGCACGGCACAAACATTTGTATTTATGAGTATAATTGTTTGTATCGGTTTGGGTGTTTTCTATGTATAATATGTATGTATTTACGAAAAAAAATCCATGTATCTGTATCAGTTATCTAGTACCCATAACACAAGCTTTAGCTAGCTTAACTTGGGTCTAGATGGCGCTGTGTGAATTGTCCTGAGATTATTATTATAATGTCAGTTTGTAAGGTGAGTTTGAATGTGTCAGGAGCGGCGCAAGTGCGTGATATCGAGCGGGGCCGGGGGTGGTGCGGGCGGCGAGGCGGGCGCGTGTCCGCTGCGGTGCGGCGCGGGGCGGTGCGTGCGCGGGGCGGCGGGCGCGCGGTGCGCGTGTCCGCCGCAGCTGTCGGGCGCGCGCTGCCAGCACGCTCGCTGCTCGCAGCACTGCCTGCACCGCGGCCGCTGCGTGCTCGACACGGCCGACCCTGCCGTGCAGCCGCCGCCGCTCAAGGTCACTACGCACGCTCACGCTGAACATAGTCCCTATAATTACTGTTTGTTTTTTTGTACATCATCATCATTACATAGTATAAAACAAAGTCGCTGTCCCTATGTATGCTTAAATCTTAAAAACTACGCAACGGATTCTGAAGCGGTTTTTTGTGATTCAAGAGAAAGCTTTATATACAATATATAATACATGTACACCCGTGCGAAGCCGGGGCGAGTAGCTAGTCTTGTGTATAAAATTCTCGTGTCACAATGTTACTTCTCCGATACGGGTTAAAAGATTTAGATTTAATTTTTATATACGTAGTCGGTATATCTGAGAATAGATCGTTATCTGTTTTTTATACTATGGCCGTGGTCCTAATCCTATTTGTTTTATTGTACGCCTCATCTTGTATACAAAATTCTCTTATCACAATGTTGGTTGACATACTTCTCCAATAGGGGTTAAATTTTGATTAAATTTTATATGTATATTCATTCTGAGAATAGGTTGTTATTTTATACCCCTTAATGATAAGAGTGTATGACAATATAATTATAAAACAATTTAATTAAAGAAATAAACATTATTAAACTAAAAAGTATATTACAGTCATTGAACAAATAATTTTATGGTCCTTCGAACCGGATAAAAACTTTAATAATTTGGACATTTCCAATAGATTGATTTTTTTAGGAATTTATTATATATTTTTAGAATACAATAGAAGATCATTTATTCAAATAAACTTAATTTTAAACACTTTTGAATAGTCATACTTATTTTTTTGTTCTAAACTCGCTAATACGTACTTTTTTATCTACAACAGTGCATATGCCCGACCGGATACTCTGGCGCTAGATGCGAGCGCGTGGATAACACTAGTACCGAGGCGACCGCGTGTGGCGTGCGCTGCGAGAACGGAGGTTCTTGTCGTCTTACACGCTACTCTGCGCACTGCCTCTGCCCGGAGGGATATCACGGTACGTAATGCCGCACATGTTTGTTACATGCTTGCGTATTTGCATACAGACATATATGTATATCCCACTTCCTCTCAAATGCCTCGAATTCGACGGTAGGGTTGGTAACAGGAAAGGTTAACGTTCAAATACAAATATCATATACAAAGATTTGGCCTATGATTTCTGGGACTATGAGGACTGATTCTGACCTATTTATGTATTGTATTATGTATATGTATACAATACATGTATACGGAGGTAGTAATAGTAATAGAGTGGTGTTGTGTAGGCGCGCGGTGCGAGCAGTGCGCGGGCGGGCCGGCGTGCGGCGCGGGGGACGTGTGCGTGCGCGGGGCCTGCGTGCGCGCGGCCTGCCTCCACTACTGCCTCAACCAGGTACACACCCATACATTGTAGACGTACTGGTGCGAGCAGTGCGCGGATCTCGGGCATCATACATTGCGTTGCGCGCGGCGCGGGGGACGTGTGCCTGCGCGCGGTACACACCCATACATTGCCTGCCTGCGCGGGCCTGCGCGCGGCCTGCCTCAACCAGGTACACACCCTACTGCCTCAACGCAGGTACACACCCATACATACACACCCATGTAGCGTGCGCGCGGCCTGCCTCCACTACTGCCTCAACCAGGTACACACCCATACATTGTAGACGCTGGTGCGAGCAGTGCGCGGGGCCTGCGTGCGCGCGTACTAGTGCGAGCAGACGTACTGGTGCGAGCAGTGCGCGGGGCCTGCGTGCGCGCGGCCTGCCTCCACTACTGCCTCAACCAGGTACACACCCATACATTGTAGACGTACTGGTGCGAGCAGTGCGCGGGGCCTGCGTGCGCGCGGCCTGCCTCCACTACTGCCTCAACCAGGTACACACCCATACATTGTAGACGTACTGGTGCGAGCAGTGCGCGGGGCCTGCGTGCGCGCGGCCTGCCTCCACTACTACACAGATACGCGCTCCCATACAGACAGATGCAAGTCTTCCGCTGGTTCCGTCGGTTGGGGCATCGGGGCCATACCTTTACCCTAGTATCAACTCCGGGAGTCTAGAACTCTCGGGTATAACAATAAATCTTTATATTTACACTTAACGGTGGATAGATGTTCTTTTTTAATAAATGACAATGGTATGATTCAGTAACGGTTTACACTGGCAGGCCACCATTCAGTCAGGTCAATTAGCCCAAATGGCAAAATTCATCAAGAACTTATCAGGAGAGGTTAACTTGACATGGATAGTAAATTAAGTAATTTTGAAACCCGATTCGCGTGTGAAAGAACGTACGTGTAAAGGCAAATGACACGTGTTCTGATACGCAGGGCACGTGCACATATTCCATACATATGACACGTGTTT